CATTCAAGGTGCGCGCGGAGGCTCGCACGACATTCAAGGTGCGTGCGGAGGCTCTCACGACATTCAAGGTGTGCGCGGAGGCTCGCACGACATTCAAGGTGTGCGCGGAGGCTCGCACGACATTCAAGTGTGCGCGGAGGCTCGCACGACATTCAAGGTGTGCGCGGAGGCTCGCACGACATTCAAGGTGCGCGCGGAGGCTCGCACGACATTCAAGGTGCGCGCGGAGGCTCGCACGGCATTCAAGGTGCGCGCGAGGCTCGCACGACATTCAAGGTGTGCGCGGAGGCTCGCACGACATTCAAGGTGCGCGCGAGGCTCGCACGACATTCAAGGTGCGCGGAGGCTCGCACGACATTCAAGGTGCGCGCGGAGGCTCGCACGACATTCAAGGTGCGCGCGGAGGCTCGCACGACATTCAAGGTGCGCGCGGAGGCTCGCACGACATTCAAGGTGCGGCGGAGGCTCGCACGACATTCAAGGTGCGCGCGGAGGCTCGCACGACATTCAAGTGTGCGCGGAGGCTCGCACGACATTCAAGGTGTGCGCGGAGGCCTCGCACGCATTCAAGGTGCGCGCGGAGGCTCGCACGACATTCAAGTGCGCGCGGAGGCTCGCACGACATTCAAGGTGGCGCGGAGGCTCGCACGACATTCAAGGTGCGCGCGGAGGCTCGCACGGCATTCAAGGTGCGCGCGGAGGCTCGCACGGCATTCAAGGTGCGCGCGGAGGCTCGCACGACATTCAAGTGCGCGCGGAGGCTCGCACGGCATTCAAGGTGCGCGCGGAGGCTCGCACGACATTCAAGTCTACGAAAGCTTGCACAGCATACTGCGCGCAGACCCGCACTCCAACCCCCACTCCCCTTCTCCCTCCCTCCTTCCTTCCCTCACTTGTCTCCTCTCCTCAGTCTCGTCATTTGCTCTTCTCTCCTGCTCCTTCTTGGTTACCATGGCGTCCAGATTGTATCGTCTCTCCAGCAACAGGTCCATGAACTCCTGATGGGAGTCTGTGCAATGATTGTTAATGAGCTAGTTTATAAGTGGGTCCAGATAGTTTCCAACGGTACTCAATTTTTCTGATCCCCACAACATAAATATGGGCAATATTTTAGCTCCGCCATAGCCATTCTAATTGAAAAGAATTTAAAATGAACCTGTTGTAAGGTGACATAAGGCAGAGCTGTTTCATCCAAGATAGTTTCAAAGAGCATTCGTTGACTTTGAAACAAAATCTTCAATATTTTCAAATCTAATCCGTATACGCATTCAACGGGCATTTTTATGCTGCGCCATAGGCCATTTAACTATGATAGTGAAAATGACTTGTGTGTACAACACCTGGTGACATAAGGCAGAGTCAGCCAATAGACATTTCCAAGAGCATTCATCACCTTGCATATATCTTCCTTTCCCAGATCAGGTCACAAATTTTACATACTAATCATACCAGAGTGTAACCAACCGTACCAGTGTGTACGAAGGCTCTCATACATCTCCTACTTCGACTCCCGTACCATCATTTTGGGACGCTGGCAGTAGGCGGAGTTTCGGACAGCCCCAGGTCATTTCCTGAGCACACAGCAGACAGATATGTAAGGTGTACATTAATGATCAGTAACAATACATACATGTATATACATACAGGCCAAATGGGGAAAGACAAAAACTTAAAGTTTGGTGTCTACGTCAGACCTTTCCTTTTTTCCAGCTAAGAACTACGGAGACTCAGTAATTTATACACACAACGAGCTTTGTCTCTTTGATGAACCCTCTTCAAATGAGCAGTTTCAGAGAAAACCGGTCGAAATTTCTGACCTTCATTGCCCGTTAAGTAGGTCGTGTCCTTTGTGGGACCGAACAAACACCCGAGAGTGAATTGAGAGTACAGACAGACAGACTGACAGACAACAAACCCAACTACAGTACCCCTCGCTGGCGCATGCGCGCCGAGGGTAATTAAAGCACTGAAGTGTCCAAACCCTCGTCGCACTGTGAAGCGCACAGGCGTAATAAACGCATGCCTCCATACCACTAATCGATCCGACTGTGGTAAGCCATCCCGTCCTTGTGTATTTGCATATATTGGCTTTTGTTTTGCTCGCTCTTAGCTTGCAACGGAGCGTTCAGAGAAAACCGTTGAAATTTCTGACTTCATGCCCGTTAGTAGGTCGTATCCTTTGTGGACGAACAAACACGAGATGAGATTGAGAACAGACACACACACACAGACAACCATGAAAGCACTAAAGTGCAAACCCTCGGCGAAGTAGCTCGCAGAGAGTCTGACACGGGGCCAGCTACAGTAATATAGCACGCGAGAGTCGATACACGCCATTCGTTTTGACTTCTGTGCCTTCAAATAGAAGGAGCAAGCGGACCGGTCCTTTGCTAAAATAAGCGCATGCGCATTATCCCCAGGAAAAATGGCGACTACCGCATTAGCCATACATTGGAAGCGCTCTAGCTTTGCAACGAGCATTTTCAGGAAAACCGTTCGAAATTCTGACCTTCATTGCCTTAAGTAGGTCGTTCGTTTGGAGACAACAACTTCGAGAAGTGAGATTAGAGTAACAGACGACCACACAGACAAACCCCACTACAGAACCCCCTCGCTGCGCATGCGCGCCGAGGGTAAGAAAATCACTGAAAGTGCAAACCCTCTTCGCACTGTACTCGCACACTGCTTAATAAAACGCATGCGCCATCCCACTAATCGATCCGATGTGGGTAAGCCATCCCGCCCGTTTGTGTATTGCCATATTGGCTCTTTCCGCGCTCTATAAAGCTTTGGCACGGAGGCATTTCAGAGAAAACCGTCAAATTATGACCTTCATTGCCGTTAAGTAGGTCGTTCCTTTGTGCGACGACAAACAACTCACTCGAGAATGGAATTGAGGTAACAGAACAGAGGCAGACAAACCCAACTTACAGTACCCTCTCTGCGCATTGCGCAGCCGAGGTTAATTATCATATTATAAACCCCGATAAGAAACGCCAACCAATGAACACGGTAAAACCCAGCAAACCCAAGCCTGCCCTGGCACCAACGCGTGCTGGCCTTCCGTTCCCCGACGGCCCGGTTGGGCCTCACGTGGACGGACGCCCCTCGGCTCTACGTGAATAGAAGGCGGAGGGGTTGGCCGGCCAACAATCGTGCTCAAACAGACAAGGGGGAGGTACTCCGTGTGTGGACTTTCGGACAAGGGTAACCAGCCCCCATTGAAATGTGGTGGTGGAGGCGTGCTGACTGGGGGGGGCGGCGCCTCTCGTCGGTGGGACCCCCTCTTGTCGGCATAGCTGCCGGGCGGCCCCCGAAGATGGCGGCCCCGTCCCTAGCCCGGCCCCCGCTCGCAGGGATCTGGTGGTTCCCCCAGTAAGGGTCGATGTTGGGGACTGTCCCTGGGAGGTCTCCCAGACTTGACGGGTCTGGCCATGACGATGACAGGCCCTGGGAGCCCGCCTACATGATACCAATGCCGAGCCCGGGTGGGGGGGCACCCGGTTGCATTCAGAGGACCAACTGATCGCCCCCTCGTTCCTCATCCCCCCAGAAGAGAGACCCCCCGGCTCCCCAGAAGCTCTGGTAGTAACGATCCCGTTTTCGCGTACTGCGGGCCGCCCAGTGCCCGGCGGTAGGGGTAAAGTTGCGGAAGGTCCTGAACGGCCCCTAATTCTACAGGATTTGATCGTCTACCAACCTACGGACTTGTTCAAGTGTTCTATAGTGCACCCCGAAGGTCTTTCAACAGAAGACGGTGTCCGCACGTGGACGAACGCATATTTTTGTGCGTTCTTTTGTGGGGGCGGGTAAAGCACGTCCAGAAGCGTTCGCACGTTGGATGATAGTTCAAAGACCGTCGGGCACTATATGTCTCTCAGGTCTCTATAGCAAAACCTGCGACTATTGTAGACAGTTACTCACCGATGCAGTTGCTACTGGAGACGAGTCGTACACTATTGAGTTCCAGTTGCGTCAGTTTCATCTGCACCTGGTCACATGAACTGAACATCACCTTCCCGCCTGTCAGAGGGGGTCAGAGTGCAGAAATATAGACTACAGCACTGTCAATAATATGTGATGTTACTTCACTCTAGCCACGAAAGTTACTTGTCGCAAAAATTGCATGGTACCAGGTTAGAAACGTGAGGATGCTATGTAGCCTGAGGGTTTCTGATTTTACACATTCACTGAGGAAAACAAACATGTAACCTTACCCGACCTTTGCAACTCATGGCCACACCCACTTTTTCCATGGCTTTAATAAGCTTATGTAGCATAAAATGGGAAGGAACTGTTCATTTGTACATAGCAAGTTCTTGAATCTACTCTGTGTCTGTATCATGTGGGTTCTTCTGTCTGAGGTTAGTGAGGTTACGTAAAGAGTCCGAGGGAGTACATTTCATTTGGAGTGCTGAACTGTTAGACATACCTCCGTTGCCAGGGGCGAAGCTGACCTCATCGGCCCCAGTGAGTCTCTTCATGAACCTTATCTTCATCGTCATTCCCTGTGTCACCATGGAGACGGACAATACTGGTAAATCTAAATTCCACCTCAAAATCAGTATCCGGTAATCGAAAGTGATACATGTACATTTTGACCTCTGACCTGAAGGAAGTCGCTGAGTCTGCTCTGAGAGTTTCCAGACTCCTGTCTCCTTAGAATCCTCTCCTGAACATAGCACATGACAATCACATGGCACGTCACATGACATCACATGACCACTGACCCGTGCTCTGTTCATTTCGGCCCTCTCGAGATGTGTGAGTTGTATGTCCCCTCCTCTTCCCTCCCTCTCCTCTTCCTCATTGTTTTCATCTTCATCACTCTCAATGAAGAACACATCATCTCCACCTCTCTCCTCCTCCTCCTCCTCTACCTCCTCCTCCTCTCCCACCTTCCTCCTATCAGATATTCATGAGCAATGTGAGTGTAACAATTACAATTATTTTGGTCTATAGACGTACTGTATATAAAAATAGACGATAAGTTAGTTTTCTATGCTCGCTAAAGTTTGCACAATCAATGGGTATAGCAGACAAACATTTACACTTCAAGTGACAACTCTCTAATTAATGCCCATCAACAAAACTCTCGATCCCCGTCAGTACCTGTTGTCTTGTCTGTTGCCGTGGTTTCCGGAGAGCCTGATTGACCTCGGAGAGGGAAAACCCCTCCTCGTCAAAGAGGTCCTCAATCTTCAGGTTGAAGCCGAGGCTCTTGAGGGAAGCCAGTTTCATGGAGACCTCAACTATCTCGTCCACTGACAGCCCCAGTCTCCGGTACCTGGGACCCCAGGAGGTACAATGTCTGCCACCTTTTTCAGTCAACTAACACCTTACTCTAGGTGGTCCTTACTAGGTCTACACATGTAGTTTACAGCCTATGAAGTTCAGACTGCTCTACTGCTACATAGTCAATGGTACCGTATTTCCTCGAATGAACGCCGCACTTCGAATAGTAGCCGCCCTCGAATAGACGCCGCACGTAACGTCCGCGAGGTGTAATAGTGGCCGCCCTCGAATAGTAGCCGCTATTTAATATTCATAGAGAAATGTGCATGCGTACAATCACGTGACGCCAAACGTTGACGTTAGGCGCCTATATATAGGTGCGAAATTGTAAGCTAGCTAGCAGCCAGCTGCGTGCATGAGATGGCAGAGGCTACAGCCAGAAAGAAGAGCAGCTTTGATGCATCGTTTAAGCTTTTAAGTCATTGACTATGCGCCTCTCGGGAGAAGGCGTGGCTCCGCGAAGCTAGCGTGCGCCGTGCTCTGCGAAATAAACGCGCCCTCGAATAAACGCCGCCCTCGAATAGGCGCCGCGGGTTAGTGGCGCTGGAAAAAATTGTAGACCGCGGCTACTGATCGAGGAAATACGGTATTCAGGATACCAAAATCGTTCACCGTTCAACCATTGAACGGCATTCGAACGGAGAAACGGAAAACGGAAATGGAGAAACGCCGTTCACCGTTCGGACCGTTCGACAATTATCCGCACGTGTGCCACTCCCACTTTTCTAGTTACGGCCGTATGCTATCCTGAAGTAGCGAGGCGCGCTTTTACCACAGCGTAAGCCTTGGCAAAGGCCACGGCATCAAAAGTTGCCAATAATAACCGTCGATTTCGGTGCTAGACTTCTGCCGTGGTGAATTCGTCGATAGCTTTTTAGCGCGCGCATCGCGGGTTGCGTAGCCGCGAACATGAACGGTCAACGGATGAACGGTGAAACGTTGTTCCGTCGGAAACGGATGAACGGTGAACGGTGAACGCCGGTGAACCGGTTGAACGATAAACAATTTTGGAAACGTTTTTTGACTTCTACTGTATATTACCACTGCACACTCCAGCTATAGTCGAGGTGCTCATGATGGTTGGTTGGCCTGTCCTTCCCTCCACTTGCCTGCTAAAAGTACGATAAGTTCAGGCCACCCTATTCTTTCACTGCACACTCCAGCTATAGTCAAGGAATTCAGGATGCTGGCATGTGCTCACTTGCTAACGAAAAGTTTAGGCCACTTCATAGAGTATATATGTTGTAACTTTCCCTTACTTCCTTAGGTCGCTACGGCAACAGGTGGGTGTGGCTCCGTGAAGGTCCAACTCGGTCATGTCTAATCTCAATGTGATGGTGTGCGTTGCAATCTCTCCATTGTGACGAAACTCTGGCTCCCCTGTGGACGATTATGTAATAATTACATCATTAAGAATACCATTAAAATTCAGATAAAACGCCAGCAAACAAAAACAGAGCCATTTCCGAATCTTAAATAAATTCCTATGGGTTCAGCAGGCTCACCAATTGGTCGAATACATTTGTCATGTGACCTGGACAGGCTCACCAATTGGTCGAATACATTTGTCGTGTGACCTGGACAGGCTCACCAATACATTTGTCGTGTGACCTGGGCAGGCTCACCAATTGGTCGAATACATTTGTCATGTGACCTGGACAGGCTCACCAATTGGTTGAATACATCATGTCATGTGACCTGGGCAGGCTCACCAATTGGTCGAATACATTTGAAGAGAAGTTTTGACCACTCGTTGAGCTGCGCTGCGTGTTCCGTGTCCTGCTCCATCGCCATGCCAACTGGCCCCACCCCTCTTCTACTGTGGTTAGAGTCCGAGTGTCTGAGGGATTACATCATTATTACATCATCAACAAACCTCCACAGATCAGCTACTCACTTGTTCTTGTGCAGTGGATGTTGAGACGAGTTTTTCATTTTCACAAATTCATTTCCGTCAGCCTTGATCTCATATGGTCTTCTTGATTCCTGCAGTGAACATCACTTTCTTAAGTAAGTGTTTTACGCTAACATACGACCTTGTACAGTGTGCCCTTATTTATACATAAACATCTTTTTGGTACATCTAGTAAGATGCAAGTAAGACCAGCTAAAACAGAACTTTAACCCTTTGGATGCCACGGGGATCTGCTTAAATAAGCAGAATAAAGTATTAGAGCCTAGTATTATAACCCCATTTAAATTCTTATGGACTTATGGAGACTTTGTGTCAGTGGCTGGGTATGTGATTTAGTGAGCCGAGGAGCCCTGAGCTGTCGGCGTCCCGAGCGCAGCGAGGGCGCTACTAAGGGCTCCGAGGCTCACTAAATCGCGTAGTTTCCCAAGGCGACGCGTCTAACCGGCTTAGACTACAGCGCAAGTCCGTCCCGCTGCAGTGTCCGTTGTAGGCGTTGCTGCCCTTCGGGATCGCGCCGGCTGGCCGTCTGTGCGCGTTTTTCCCTGTACGCTTTCTCTAGCGTCTTCCTAGCTCTCTAGTAGTCATGCGCTGCTGCTAGAAGAGCCTGTTCCTGGTTTCTTCGTGGGAAGAACCGCTCCAGAAGCTCGGTTCACCGTCCGCGCGCGTGGCGTCTTTTCGAATTGAAGGCGTGGTTGCCGGGGCTACGAATAGTTACCGCGGAAGAGGTCACTAACAAAAATAGTCACCGCTAAACTCGCAATCTGATTGGTCAATTGCGTGTTACCGTAGTCTAACTATGTATAGTTGATAATTCATGTTTCTCTCTTCTCCTCACGTGATGATGGTGGTGGTGGTGGTGGTGATTAAGGTGCTCCTTGGCATTCCTCCACACACAGCTTATCTCCTCCATCTCGCGGTCCAGAGACACATACCTGCAGTATGGAACACAGACACACCGAGTGACATGGAATGGGGACCCGAGGACATGCCCACCTCTGACTGAGAGCATCGGCCGTGTTCCTGTGGTATGGGTCTGAGGCCAGACTGGCGAGTCTGGAATAGAGACAGAATATATTGAACCCTCTGAAAAAGGGGACCCCCTCTATCCCACACGTAATAGTGGAACCTCCGAGATAGGGACAACCACTCCACAAAGGACACTTGTTTCAACCCCATGCTAATACTTTAGTGTATTATTTGACCTCCGAGATAGGGACAACTCCGAGTTAGGGATGACCTCTCCACAAGGGACAAAATCGTTTTCCCTATACTCTAGTGACCCTTGTTCGGAGCTACCACTGTATACACACCTGAGTTGTGCAATGATGAGTGGAAGGTTGGAGTTCATGAAGGATTCGGCGAAAATGAGTTCTCTGAAGATGTTTTTGTTCATGAGTTCAACAGTGACACCCAGACTCTGGACGTACTCACTCTCTTCCTGTGGCGTGGGAGAGAGAGAGAGAGAAGTTAGGTTGACAAGCACTACATACGGATTATAATTTCTCTAATTAATGCACACCAAGCATTGTACTGTATGTAGTAAATGTAGTGTAAATCGGCTCAGATTTAGCACACAAAGTTGCCCCCAGCCATAAACTTACAAACAAAAACAAAGTAAGAGGGTAAATATGTAGAGTGGAGGGATGGAATGAGGGAATAAAGGGATGGGAGAATGGTAAGATGGCGCTAAACATCCATCAGTGGGAGTAAGATGTAAATACCAGTGGTTCGAGGAGGTAGAGGAGGGGAGGGAGGGAGCTGGTGAGGCTGGAGTACTCGTCCAGTAACATCTGAATGAACTCAATGGCCAGTTGAGGTGAGTTGAACCCACACGACAGTTGCTCTAGGAGACGAACCTTGACCTCCAGTAGGTACTCCCTGAGGAAGGACCAACATAGAGCATATGACAGGAATTATGGTGTTTTGCTAGTTTTAGTGCAGCATACATGTCCGCTAACTGGGTTTGCAAGGTATCTCCATACGTACAGTAAATGTAGTGATGTGCTCATTTTCGTTTCCCTACCAACATAGAACACATCGAGAAGCACGTATGCAAAAATCCGCACACTCGCAAAAACTTCCATGCTTCTCCACGGCGCGCAGTGTTCAACACTCGTGGTGACATACGATTCTGTTACCCCCCCTCTCCCCTCTCCTCCCCTCCCCTCCCTCACCGAGCAAGTGTCTCCAATCTCTGGAAGAACTGGTGAGGATCTCGGCCACATAACCTCTTCACAATCATCCTCATCTTGTCCGATCCAATAGAGGTCCTGGTGGTCTGACCTGCAGTGGTCAGAGTATCCCACAGATTACTAGAGTATCCAACAGATTACTACAATATCAAACAGATTACTAGAATAGCCCATGTACAAGAAAATTCCACATATATACACAAAAAAGATTGTTACAGTTATCCAAAAAATTCCTGATCTCTAATCTTGCTCTTCCAATTCCTTTATTCCACACGGAATACCACACAGATGTCACAAAACAATTATTAGGATATACTGGAGTGTGCAAGAGATTACTACAATATACTGGAGTGTGTAAGAGAATACTAGAATAACCTGAAGATGACTTACTCTCGAGGGTCATGTTGTCGCGGTAGATACACCTGACGATGTGTCGGATTTCCATCCAATAGTTCTGAGTAATCTGAGCTTCTCTCTCCACCTCCGGTGTGGCCGCAGCACTCTCTCTGCAGAGATGGAGGGAGGGAGGAACTAGCAGTTTACAGGCTAAATTTAGAAATGTTACTAAAGATAGAACAAACCAATAGGGGCACAGTGAAAGAATGCAAACAAGTTCCTACATTTATAAATTCGCCACATAATTATGCTGCCAACGTTCACTAAATGACAGAGATAATTATTGTGAAGGTATTTTACGCTTTATTACGACAGAAATATGACAAATGTTTTGGTGTAGCTAAGAAGGTCACATCATAAAAAATATATCTGAATTAAATCTTCTAGTGGTAAGAATTGCCAAATTCAATCGGCTACAGTTATACTGTATTTTGACTGGGTACATAGACTTGAGTAAAAGGCTGCCAAAATTAAATGTATCAACATATTGCATTGACCATAATACACCCATGCATTGGAGTTACTATTACAAGGTGCTTTAGTATGTCAGCTGGTCAGTACAGCAGCTGCCCTCACCTCTTGGCCACACAAGCAGAACAGTTGCAACCGTAGACAGCGAGATCTTTCTGGGATGACGGCTGGCCTCCGCTTCCATTGACGACCGCCACCTTGTCTTCCTCCGACGTCAACATGCAGTGGGGACACATTCTCCATGGCTACAGGGGTTAATTGATTGAATGATGTAATGGTGATGTCGTTGAAATATAGTTCCAGTGTAATAGACAACTTACATACAAAAAACTGGAGAGGCAAACACTATTGTGAATGGTTGGCTAATGAATTAGGAAATTACAATAATGTTGTATAGTTAGGAAGGTAATTGTACGATGTAATGGTGATGTAATGGATAATGTACCTGTGCTGAATCAGAGGTCGGGGTACTTGGACTGACTGTCAAATGGAACAGAGAAGAGAGAGAAATAAAATATGTAAAGAGAAAGCAGAGTTTTCATATGTACTATGTCAGTTGGCAGGTCATTGATGGCAATCAATGAACATGTACATACACATAGAGAGAAGGCAATATCGCGATCCAAATCCTTGTAATTGGCCTTCGTTAACCTCCCCTCCCTCCCTCCTCTCCCTCCCTATCGCTCACCAAACTGTCTGAATGGTCGTTTGCATCTCTGACATTTGGTCGTGGTCACCACACCTTCAGCCTGATCTGTAGATTGCTACAAACACACACAGAGTCACAGAGAGAGAGTGTGAGTACACGGAAAGGAAAGAGTTACACACCAGAGACTGTTACACTCAAAGCTAAAGACCCTCCCTCCATTTAGCTCTACAGTACTCTAGACTACGACAGCAGAAAGTGTACTTTTCACTCCAGGTCAATATTCCGGGCCATGCTCAATACACAATGAACGATCCCCAACTTTCAATGATTAATTTGTACACACACACAAACACACTACGTCAGACAAACAGTCTGTTTCGCTCCGTCTTACTTTAGGCATGTTTCCTTCTCCACCTCCGCTAGCAGTCTCCCCAGTCTCGGGGCCCTCAGGTTTCCCAGCCGCGTTCTTCTTCTTCTTACGTCTGTTTCGCCTCTTGGCAGCAGTTTGTAGGGCTGGCTCGCTCATGGCTGGTCCTCTCCCGTTTCTAGGGCTCTCTCGATCCTCTCTCGATCGTAAGGAACGCTGAATAGTTGTCTTCCTTCACTCGCGGTGAAGACTGGCAGCCATTTTGTTTTGTGATACACAATAAACTCACGCGGTCTCCGCATACCATTAAAGGTATCCGTATTCTTGTGTAGAGTTCTCCGGATACTTGCAACAGCATACTCGTATAACTCCGGACCATTCGCAGTGACGAAAAAGAGGGGCGGGGCTCTCGTGGCTGCACAGTCGCTGTCACATGATGGTCTACTACTATACTACGTACAGCAATCACGAGATTTTTTGCAAGTTTAGTTCAGCTACAGCACTGAAGCAAAGAAAGCCGGCGTCTCTCTAGCTATCCGTCTTCTCCCTCTGACCTGTTGACACCACAGTACTAAAGATCATGGCAGGATTCTGCGACAGGCAAGAAAAGCGTGCTCTGCGGGTGAGTTGATCTCCTCAAATCTGGAGGCGATCTGACAGTTTCTCTCTCCCTGGGCGGCCGTCTCTCGCACAGCAAGAGCACAGGGCCGAGCGGCAGGAGGCCAGACTGCACGACAAGGCTGTCCGAGCCGCTCTCCATGGTAACATTGGCAAAGCCGTCGCTCTAGAGGTACGCTTCTCTTTTCCCCTTCAGCTCCATTTTCCTTTCTTTTGTTTATCTCCCCTCGCCCCATTGTGCACTTTCATTGATAGGTTTCTGAAGCCATATTATTTGCTCAATGTGTGCAGTGACACAGTCCACAGGTAGATATGGATTGGCCTGAATCGAGCGTCTGTTATAGGCAAGACTGAGTCTTGTATATTATACCAAGTGTGGACATGTTTGGCTTTGATTAGAGGGAGTTTATCCGTGATCGCAAGAAGTTACCGCACATTTTCCTTCTACTATAGTATCATGTGCTCCTCTTCGTCCTCCAGGTAAGAGCTGATGCCAAGCACCACCAGGCAGTGCACGCTGGTGTCCGTGCCGACATGGCCCACCATCACCATCATCCTCATCATCACCATCTTCCCCATCATCACCATCTTCCTCATCATCACCATGCCCCTCCAGCGGTGGTGGTAGTGCACCAACCTCCACCCCCTTCGTCCTCTGTCCCTACCTATCCTCCCCCAACTGTACATCCACCACCTCCGGCTAATGCTCCTGGTAACTTTTTACAATGCTATCCCGTGCTTGCAGTAACTAGCTCTCCTGGGCTCATGGCAAGGCCCCACACGTTTCTGAAGCCACATCAAACTACATCATCAATCTTGTGTGCACTAGATCAACAATCCACATTGTGTGGATGAACCAATCCACTAGTTGACATTGAATTGGAGCATCCTGAAGTGTGAATGTTGGGAAAGTTGCTGCTTGTCACTATTTCTTTGTTCATGATTGGCCCTACTAGTTAGATGACAAGTCCAGGAAACTACGAGCATTAGAGAGCCGCGGGGGCCCTGAGCTGTCTGCGTTCGAGCGCAGCGACGACGCTACTAAGGGCCCCCAAGGCGCTCTAATGTGCGTAGTTTCCATGGACGAGGCGTAACTTGTTTAGAGCTATGGCAACGCGTGTGCGCAATTCAAATTCGGTGCATCTGAAACGGCGAAAGAGTGCTGCTTTCTCGCTGGGAAGTCGAGCGAGGGGCACAGGGATGACGTCAACAACTGGCTCGCCTCTACCAGTGTATACCTTCGCAGGCCGTGCTGGGGGACTCCGCCTAGCGTAAGTGAGCCATTGCGCATGCGCCAAATTTAGAGTCCGGAAAGTTTGCGCAAATTAGAGTCTGCGCATGGACCAATCAGATTAAATTACCCAGCTCAAGTTATTATTTTTGGGATTTGGGGATTCCAGATATAGGATATGTAAGGAAGGACTAAATTTAGAAACTGTTACTAAAAGAGGTGTAAGTGCATTCTTGAATTGGGCCCTACTTATGTACGAAGATGGTGCCACATTCCCCATTTTAATTACCCTCTGCTCCCCTCCAGGAGGCTATCCATCCGCCCCACCGTACCCCAGTGCTCCAGGAGGTGTGTACCCCAGTGGTCCAGGAGGTGTGTACCCAACACCCGCTCCCTACCCTGCGCCTGGTCCCGTTGCCCCTGGTTACCCTCCCTACACTGCTGTTGCCCCTGGTTACCCTCCTCCCCAACAGCAGGCATACCCTCCGCCTTATCCTGGTAATGTTTGGTGAACAAAGCCAGGAGTTCAATGTTTTGTGCATTTCATGCCTATTTAGAATGACATATAACATTACTCTATGGGCTGTGTGGGTCGATCAGATAATTGTAAGCATTTGGATGACTCGCTTCGCTCACGAATGTTGTACTTCTCCAAAACCAATACTAGAGCGATCATTATTGGCAAGGGAACAAATATTGGACACTCTAACTAATTGGGCACGACAGCTTACGCAAATGCCACTATTGATGAGCCAGCCAAATCCAAGTGGTGGGAAAGTTGCAACGCCGCGAATCAAACTTAGGACGTTCTGTGTATGAGTGCAGAGCCACCACACTACTTGTTCTATGTTCTATTTAGGTGGTCCAGCCTACCCTCCAGCTTACTAGCTGTCACTGTGGAAGAGCGGGGGATTGAGAACACGAACTGTCATTTCTTAGTTTGTAGATAAACAAATTTTAATGTGTTGAGTTACAAGAAAAAAACGCAAAAAGAACAGCGGTTTTATAAAGTGCAGTGTGCAGAAGGAAAAAGAAGCAAATTACATCATCATTACATCACTCCCCGAGTGAGCTAGAACCCTCCCCTCAAGCTACGTCCTCTCCCCCTCCCTCTCCTCCCTCCCCTCCCCCTCCCTCCCCCTGTGAATGGAGGTCCATTATTTCCCAAGCTGCTGCTGAAGCGGTCCCGTGGAGGTTGGTATAACGACTGATCAGCTCTCTTGTTCTTCCCGTTGCTGGCTGCCCCTGTCTCTGAGTCTTCAAACCTGTACATTTTACCAAATCAGAGACATAAAGTGTTTGACTAAAGCAATGCCCACACAAGTCAGTGTGAAACGTCTGAATAAGTGGCACCTTTTCAGAGTTTTCACTATGTTATGATAATAAATAATGCTACACACACTGTACATGTAATTATGTCGGGAATATTGTCCACTAATACGAACATCTGTCTATGGTTGTCAGAAGAATTATATGTGAGTTTCTCCGAACCTGATTGGAGACGGCTTTCTTTTGGAGGGCGTGGTTTCAGCTGTGGCCAAGGATGGCCGTTTTCTCTGTACCACAGTCTTCTGTAGAGAAGGGAGAGGCCCTTTGAAAAATAACCAAACTTGTTCAAGCTTGGTTATATCCTATTAATTATCAAACTTGAGCCAAGCTATATACAAGCCTGTCAGGCAAGCTTGCAGATTTTGCTTGTATCAGACTCTCACTCTACCACACCAGGCTTGAACATTCACAAGCTTGTTTCTGTTTACTCCGGAGTAAAGTATTATATACTGTGAGGCACAACCTGTGGTCATTTCAGAGGTGGGCTTTATTTGGAGGAACTGTGCGCGTGTGTAATGTACACATACCTCTGGTCCCCAGGACAGCTTCACCTTTGCCTGATAGGATGGAGGATTGTGGAAGAAATCCTGAGAAAGGAGAGAGGAAGGGAGGAGGTAGGTGTATAATGGTAGTTTTCTGACATGCAGCCTGTGACATGCAGTCTTTGACATGCAGTCTGTGACATGCAGTCCACAACTCACTCTGACAAGACTGCTGATGTTGGCTGTGATCTTTATGGCCACAGTTCTTAGCTTCGCCTGTGGCAAACGTCAGTCAGTACACATCACATTCACACTGTACTGAACACGACGACTGAGAAATTTCAGCAGATTTGCGAATTACGTACACATCGCCATTCAGAGAGAAAAAGAATGCCATTCAGATGACTATGTAGATTATTTGCTTTACACGTCACCATAATCCCAACACCACCATACATTCATAATTTTAACCCCTACACCACTGACCTGTTCATCATTAACCTCAATCCCACTGCTCTTGACGGCAGCCTGCAGACTGGAGTGATAGGCCTGACACTTCCTGGCAAAATACTGCAACCTACACACAACGACACGATAGGTAATTAATTTTCTAGGCTATCTACAAAATTTGACTCTCTGAAGGTAAGACAATCTACGAGATTAGCCAAAATCACAGTTTTATAAATAACATTTTCAACTCATATTATTACCTTTTCTTAAAGTCTTTCAGTCTCTCAGAGTTAGCTTCGTCTGTTAGGAACCCTGGGGACTGTGTGTGTGTGTGTGTGTGTGTGTGTGTGTGCAAGTTTTGTAAATATGTACTAACAAAAAGAGACACTAGACTGCTCAGTCACACAATGCACAAAACAGGACAGAAAACTAAGTCAGACAGTAAATCTGAAGTGAGAGAGACAAGAGAGGGGAAGAGAGACCTTCTGTGCCAGTTGGTGGAAGGCAAAGAGAAGGCATTCTACAGTTGAGTATTGGAAACTGGGGGCTTCCCCTTCTTCTGGGGGAGGGAGAGGAACATACTCCTGTGGGGGAAGTGAGGGGAGAGGGAGGGAAGGAGGGAGAAGTATTCCACAGTTTCATGAGGTAATGGTACATGGTCTTATGTAATGAGCAGTAATAAAGTCAAGCCAACCACACTGGCCAACCACACTGGTTAAAACCTTCACAAAAGATGCGAAAGCAACTTTTCAACATAGTGTGTTTGCATGTGTGGCGTACAAAACCAGAACTATTTGAGTCACCAGTAGGAGGGAGAAGATGGGAGGGAGACATGTGTTAATGGTGTCGTCAGGGAGATGGAACATGGAGGACTCCGCCAACAGCCGCAGCACCTCCTGCCAACAGAAACACACACCACATGGCTAAAACTAAACTACTGCCATTTTATTTTGTCTACTGGACTGCAAACTTCAGCTATAGTCAAGGTATTCAGGATGGTTGGTTGGCCTGTCCTTCCCCCCACTTGCTTGCTAAAAGTACGAACAATTTAGGCCACCCTGTTCTTTCACTGCACACTCCAGCTATAGTCAAGGTATTCAGGATGGTTGGTTGGCCTGTCCTTCCCCCCACTTGCTTGCTAAAAGTATTCACCCATATTTACTAGGCCACCCTATTTCTACACTGACAAAAATCGCTAGCAAATCTACACACAGATAGATCGAGAGGGCAGGAGCAAGAGAGAGAGAACTGACCTGTCTCCCATCTTCTGAGATGGCAGTAAAAGATGGGAGGATGTTCTGACAGAGGTACACCACAAATTGAGTAGCTTCGCAGCCTCTCTGGAGGGAGGGAGCAATACAAAACAATACACCAAAAATGTAGCCTCTTCCTATCGATGGATAGTTCGTGTAAAACTTAAATTTAGTTTACAAGAGCCTTTCCTACACCAAAGCTGGTACAAACCCAAGACCAACACAACTTCAACAACCACTGTTGCTAGGGGAAAGTAGAGGGAGCTGACCTTGCAGAACTTGAGAGCCTGTTTGAAACAGGTTATAAACCGGTCCACACTCTCTCCGTCCTCTACCTGATGTAATAATGACATCACTAATCTAATAGGCTGGCGACTTGGTTACAAACCTTGAACTCTGCAGATAGCTCGGCTTGCTGCACTATGACGTCCATCACCTCCTGTGCTCCCTCCGCTGACAGTCACATGACATAGAGTGTGGATCACATGACACAGTGTTAAAAGTCACATGACTAGAGGCACATGCTAACCAGTGGCAAGGAACTGTAGTTTTGACAGCATTTCCATGAATACCTCAAATTCCTCTCCTGTCACATCTGACAACACCTAATGTAGGGAGTCACAGACAAACAATGAAACTCAGAAACTTTGGAAAGAAAAAGTTTCAATTGTCTGTTTGCTATCTGTCCACATATTGTGTGTATGTATGTGTGTATGTATGTATGTATGTAGGTATGTTCTTTGTATGAAGTCTCCCCACCATAATTTCTTTACATTATTTTGTATGACTTGCAAAAGTTCTCTCCCACAAGTGTTTCTCATAGTATAGTACCAACCATTGATACGAAGCAGCCAACTAACCTTCTTGACGTGTCGGACCAGTTGTTTCTCATTCTCCGGGTGAGGAATGAAAAGAATGTGCCGCATGCTCATCAGAGAAGAGCTGACGTAATCGATGGCTTGTTCCCTCACTCCTTCATCCTCCCCTCCCACCTGATGGACAGGAGAGAGAGAGAGCGTTAGCCAAAGAATAATGTCGTTTTGCACTAAATGAATCACGTTAAACAAAACCTATAAGTTTTGTGAATGTGGTCAGCCAGCATGCTAAACCAAAAACAGGTCGGGATAAAATATCGTACGATTCTGCGGAAAACTTTCATTTTTTGCGCGGAATAATGGACAGGAGAGATGGATGCATGCCTACCTCCTCATTGGAACCAGACTCTCATAGAAAGAGTAAATAGAGGAAGAAGAGGGACGAAGGAGAGGAAGTAGAAGGAGAAGAGAGAAGAGAGAGGCCATATGTGTACCTGGGAGAAGATGCCATCCATGGCAGCCGGCGTGTTCTTCTGGAGCAGGCTGGCCAGTCCTGTCTTCACCAGTGCAAGATCTATCACATCCTCTGTGTGGGGGGGGAATATTTTTAGGACACCTTACTGATCAGGACACCTCACTAATCGGGACACCTCACTAATCAGGACACCCTACTAATCAGGAGACCTCACTAATCAGGACAACAGCTCACCAGTGGCCAGTAGCTGTGTGAGATATTCCGAGACCTTGGCACACAGAGCTGGGTCCGGACTTCTCTTGCAGATGTCTGGCAGGGCCTTGATGGCTGTACGTCGTATCTGAAAGAGGGAGCGAGGGAGGGAGGGAGGGAAAGAGAAAGTTCTAGAAATACACTTGGTTGGTGTATGTGTACAGCACACAAAAACCATTACATTTGGGAATACACTATGCGATTGAAAAGATGTGTGAAATTTGTTGCAAATATTCTTATATAACTGGAGTGAGTTATGTACCATGTCATTTTCCTCCTCTACTAGGTCCAGGAGAGTATCCATAGCAGTCTCCGCCATGGTGGGAAACAGGTGGTAGAACCTGCAGCAGAGAGAGAGAGAGTGTGTGTGTGGGGAGGATAATGACAAATACACAGAGTCTGTTGTGCATGACAACTCTCCAATGTATGGCTATGACCGTCGACGCAAGATAAGAGTGGAAGTGTTGTTTACAACTATACACAGAACTATTACACTGCATGAAGACTTTTTGTCCCACACACAAAGGTACGTCAGTAAATGTGTTCACCTCTATTGTTGAGAGAGAAAGAACACTAGAGAGAAGGCCAAGAAAGGGTGATGAAGAAAGAAGCTCTAAACCACTACCTGGTGATAAAGCCAGCTGCAAGCTTTTTCTCATTGGCGGAACCCTTGGCAGCCTGCAGTATCCCATCATACTCGGCCAGTTTCTACAGCAACAGAGAAACAGAGCTCTCACAACTCCACACAGTCAGGAGCAGCTGCCAACCTCCCCTGCTGTCTCCCCAGCGTCCGCGAGGACCCCGAAGTTCTTGTACAGTTCCTCCACTCCCGCCGACTGCTCTGCCGCCATATTCCACTGGTGCGCGTTATTTAGAAATATTCTTCTTTGGGGAAGGGAAGCCGACGAGAGGCTTTCGCAGGTGACCAAGGTCTCAGAGAAGTCGAGAAATGAGGCTCGGAGTAGACTCCAGTTGCGAAGACTCTGTGCCGCTTTCTTCTCAAAGCTGAAAAGCCGAGTCCAATATCAACGTGCTCGTCGTGACGTCAACCTAACAAGAGCGCGAAAACCGGAGCCGGCTGGAGCGGCGCGCGCTGAGTGGCGGCAGTTTTGCATTTTCGATCGTCCTTCACCCGACGACAAGAGAAGGACAAGGATGAATGTAATAAAATGGTCGTTCAGTCGCTGAATTAGTACCCTTGAGGAAGATTTCTGAAGTAAGAGAAAGAGGAGGTAATCCGAAAAAAGACGAAGAAATGCAGAGAAACAAAAGGGAGCCAGTTTTGCAGGAAGAGCCAACAAGTACTGGTCAGTCAGTGACTCCCTCTGTTTACAGTAACAGGGACACTTTATGCCAGTTTGTAACCAGTTTCAAACCCGTATGTAGCTCTGCAAATGCAAACCAAGGGACACACTGTTCATGTCTCCCATCTCTCAGATTGTGTGGAGGATCTTCGGCTGTTGTTGGACTGTCTGCGGTACCACAGTGGTCGCCATGGCTCCCCACAGAGACAGGCACTCACCACCATTGCTACTATGTGCTCCAATGACAGTAGGTGGTGTGTGTGCATGTGTGTATTGAGGGTTGGGGGTAACTTGGAAATCTGGTTTTGAGAAGAGCTCTTGTTTCTCTCTTTTTCTGTGAAAAGTCAGTTTTTGAACAACCTTCACTAAAAATCACCAATTGACTGACTGTGTGTGTCGCAGGTTCAGCAAGGGATGAGATCAGAAGGTGTGGTGGTCTGTCGTTCCTACTGGAGATGATACGCAGCAGACCTGACACCACAGTCCTTCAGACTGCACTGCTCACCCTCGGCTGTGCCTCTGAGAAGAATGGTGCATCTTTATCTACTGCTTTCTCTGTTGTGCTAGGGGTTTGACATTGAATTGTGAACTAAGCCATTTGGGTTATGAATCTCTTCCAGATAAATGCTAATGTTGATTCCTGTCACATGAAACCATACCAGAGTATTATGTTGTTGCTCTCTTGTCGCCTCACTATTGCCATGTTTTAACTATATATACTTGCTCTCTCCCCCATCTCTCACTCCAGTCGTAAACCAGTCCATGTTGTGTCAGCGGCAGCTGTTCTCTCTCCTGTTGTCTGTCCTGGGGTTACATGACAGTCACATGACACTCCTCCACTCTGCAGCCTACCTCCTTGGCTGCCTAATGGCTGGCAATGGTAATGCTCTCTTTACTCTCCCTTCTCTAGCTGTGACGACAACATCTCAGTTCTCTCTCCTTGCACCTATTGATGTGCAAAATGTAGTGAATTGCCAGTTTTGGAAAGTTTAATTTCCTAGCTAGTGATTTCAGACATGGCAATTACAGTATGTCTAATCGTGTTTGTCTGGCTTTAGGGTTTTTGCGAGAAACTCGATTTCCCCTAGCAAAATAACATTCTCTCCACAGGTAGAGGTCAGAACATGTCTCGGGAGTCAGGGGCTCTGCAATCACTGACATCTCTTTTCAGGTAACTTCACTACCCTTCCACTGTGCTAATGTTCAGCTTGCTCCAATCCTCGGCAGGTCTCTGCTACCATCAGGAGAGAATGGTGAGGGAGGGGACGGTGTGATGTGTGCTGATGGTGAGGGAGTGGAGGTGTGGAGGAGTGTAACTAGTGCTCTCTGCACTGCAACTAACAATCCTCAAAATGGTAACGCCACAACATTATTTCACTTCACACTCCAGCTATAGTCAATGGTATTCAGAATGGTTGGTTGCCCTGTCCTTCCCCCCACTTGCTTGCAAATTTGAGGCCACCCCATTTGCCCTGCACACTCCAGCTATAGTCAGAATATTCAGGATCTGTTCCGATCTCTTTTCTTAACATTAGTATATATTGTTTGCGTGTACGTGTGGGTGAATGTTTCAGAGGAGAACCAGAGAGTTGCTAGCTGTGTGTTTCCAGCAGCCATGGCAGTCATCTCTCCTCCTCTCTCCCTCCATCGACGGCACACCCAATCAGCTCTTTCTCTCATCACTTCATGTCTTGCCAGCAATGGTACACACATTTACCTACTTACACAATCATTAGAACCTTTTTTACCAGATTGTACATAGTTTCACTACTATATTATGTGCAAAGTTGAGGGGACATACTTACACTTGTCACAAAAAACTTTGAAACTGAGTTTTTAGTGTTACATAAGTCTGGCCAATCCCCTGTTCCAGGCAGCGTCCAGTCGAGGTTTGGGATGGTGGGAGGACTGCAGTGTCTCATGTCAGCTCTGAGGGAACTGACGAAGGTAGAGAGGGGAGGAGAGATGGACAAGCTCTGTGTCTGTCTGCTCCAGTGTATATCTGCCACTGCCTCTGGACACTGTAAGACATGTGATTATACATATTTAAACACAAGGCTTTAATCATATAATGGTTTATGGAGGCTCTGGGCATATTTATATGTCCGTGGCTTGCTAAGGGTTAAAACTTCAATGTTATCATAAACCTGCTATATAGTAGTTACCAATTCACTTTCCACTACCACTTTCCACTTGGTATGAGAAGCAACAGTTCCATGTCGGTCCACAGGTGCCAATAGAGACACTCTGTGTTCTCTGGGATGTGTGTCTCAGTTGCTGTCTCTACTGAGGTGGTCTGCCATTCCCCTCTCCTCCCTCACCTCTCTCTCCATCTGCCTCGGCTGCCTCGTGGACAGCAACTGTTAGTCTATTCACCCTCTGGAAACACTTTCACGATTGGTTCTGTAGCCTGTTAACTTTTTGAGTTGCAAAAGGTTAACAAGCTGCAGAACATAATACTGTACGAAGTCAATGCATTTTCGGCGAGTCATGCACGATATATACATATGCATAATTCCGAAATTCCTTTTCAGCTACAAACCATACCTAGCCACTCTCTTGCCATGTACATTCTCCATTACATCCTGCCTGGTACTCAGGTGCAGCCCAGGGAGAGGTGAGAGATGGAGGAGGTCTCTCTCTGCTGGTGTCACACATGACCCAACACCAGGTACAGGAAACATAGTACACCACAGTCCGTGATGACCTCTTCTTCCTTGCAGGACGAAGAGCTGGCAAAGGCTGTTATATTTGTCCTCCAGTCCTGTCTACAAGATCACCAGACATCAGGTGAGACAGTGATTCATCTACTGGTCTGCATGATAGCCAAAATACATTCCAGGTTTTGGTTGGCATTAGCTTTTTGTAGCACAAGAACTTTTGGCTGAAACTTGCCCTAAGGAGGGTAGCTGTATGTATGCATAACTATAGAGAGGATATACCTCTATATTACCAGCAGCAGAGACTGGAGAAGCAGTGACAGCTCAAGAACTGGAATATCAAACAGCTCACTCTCAACTCACACCCAGCAGGTCAGCTCAAAACCTTCATTCCCATGTGGCTACAAGTAGGTTGAACCAAGTTCATGTGGAGCTATGGTGCCGACTGGCACGGAGATAACCAATAATGCATCTCTCCTTGTGATATAAGGAGAATTAGGAACAGCTCAAATTACCATATGTGCTCAAACCAGGCACTTGCCAAAATCCCTTCTAGTACACCTGTTTTACAGATTGCAGGTGTTGCCCCAGACCCAGTGTGGTGCCTCCTCATCTCTCTCAGCCTCGGCTCTCAGGTCTCTGGAGGACAAGAGACCACCCTCACTGAAAGTTAGTGTCACCCCTCCCCCTTAATTACTACCTTACATGTGGGTTGGTGGGTGTGGTCTCCATCAGGTAAAGTCATGGCTAATATCCTCCCCTCCCGTACACACCTCCTCCGTTGCCACGACTACCTCAACTACCAGAGAGTTGTTGCCACGACTACAAAAGCTTTTGGATGAAGTTCGAATTTCACCTCTGAGCCGGCAGAATGGGAACGAGTCTTCAGAGAATGGAAATCAGACGACACAACCAGCTGTGGAGAATACTGGTTCAGCTGTTGAGCGAGAGAAATCAGATATGCAGACGAAAGTTGGTGTTGTGATACGGTCAGCGGAACAGAATCAAGACAGGGAGACATGTAACGGAGCTTCGGCTGTTGAGATGAAGGAAATATCAACGGTTGATATTGCGAAACCAACAACAGAAAAAGAGGTGGTAAAATCAGCCACACTGGAAAAGACGAAACAATTAGCAGTACAGAAAAATGAAAGATCAGTTGAAGGTAACAAAGATCTGCTACATTTGATGGAAAAACCATCCGAACACAGTTCGGAACAACTTGACAACCAGAGAACGGTGTCGGTGGCTGGGAATGAGGAGAGTCAGGATGGGGAGGAGGGAGAAAGAGCAGTGGAGAGTAGAACTGTTAATGAGGGACTGGAGTACGGGAATGAAGGACTGGAGTATGGGAATGAGGGACTGGAGTATGGGACTGTGACTGAAGAGGTAGAAGCTGATTCATCTCTCAGACCTGCAACTGCTTCCTTTTGTGAGGCACAGATGGAAGTAATGCGGGAGGAGGAAGAAAAGATGGTGGGGGGAGGCAGAAAGGTTGGAGTAAGGGAACAGGAAGGACTGGCAGAGGTGGAGGAAAAGGAAACAGACTTAAGAAAAGAGGAGAAGGAAGTGAGGGAGGAAGGAAGAGAAATGATGAAAATTGAGACAGAAAAAATGGAGGAAAGAAACAGGGGGCCTGAAGCGACAGTGGTAGAAGAGTTGATGAAGACTCCTCGACCAGGCAGTGTCGGTTCCTCCACTTTCTCCCCCTCCCTCCACTGCCTGGCCTGCCATCCGCGACTGAAGTGTCCTCTCATAACAAGTCGTACCTTCCTCCCTGTCCTCACCTCTGACCCCTCCACCTGTCCCTACCACCATCGTCTGGCCACTCGACTCTCCCACAGCCACTCTGATCAGAACAGTGTGGATGGTATGAGAGGTTGCATGATGGCTGAATGTAGTGCTGGGGAAGATATTCTACCTGAGCATGAAGATATCCCGGTTGGAGTGCGCCACATTGGGCAGGGAAATGTTCTTGAAGATGTTGGAAGAGAGAGGAATCATGGTGTGCACGGACAGACATATAATTCTACAGTTGGTGGAAGAAATGATACACTAGTTGGGAGACATGATGACGAAGGAGAGAGGGACGGTGAAGAGTATTCAGAGCAAAGTTCCTCCTCTAATGTCTCCACTAGTCAGCCATCCACTGACAATACCTACTGTCCTCCGCCCTCGTCTGAATCACCTGACAGTTATGAAATCTCCACACCCCCTGCCTCTCCCTCCACACCTGGTAGTCAGCTGGGGTCAGTAAGACCTGACTCCATGTTGGCCGCAGTCCTAAACCAACATCAAAACCCCACACCACAGAACCCCATACCACTCCATTATGCAACAGTATGTAACCAACTGAGAAAGAACCCTCGTCCTACTTCACACACTCGCAGGTATTGTGTCTTTGCTATTACCACTAAATAAGCATATTAATAGAAAATTTTTCCTTGAGTGGTGTCCTTTTTGCGATTCCGGACATGGTGATTAACTAGCATTTGTTGGATAGAACAATTATCACTGGGATTCAGCTGAAAAAGGACTACAGTGACAACGTTGATGCATAGATGCATTGCTTTAAGTGGAACTTTGGTGTAACATAGGACACACTGACACCATGAAAATTGTCCTTCATCTTTTATATAAACAGTGCCTTTTATTGCATTAGCACCAGATCGAAACCACATCTGTTTGTAGTGTGCGAAGGGTTTGTGTGTTGCATTGTCGTAGGTATGAATTGAGCCATTGTCCTGGGGCTGGGGCAGGGCGGAGGAAGAGACGCCCCGTGGAATATAACAGAGTACCACTGGGAGAGCGGGGTAACTTACCCCATGCAGTGGGTCGGAGTATGATTACTCTACTCCAGCTAACATGAAGAAGACTGTGGCTGGTAGAGGGAGGGAGAAGAAAGAGGTATTATTAATTAGCTCATGAGAAGTGGAGGAAAAGATATCACTTGTTCTTCAGGATAAAAGGCCTCCAGTGGGTGTGGCTACATCAAGAGTGGGTAACAAGGTAGGTGTGGTCTATTTCACGAGGGAAGAGGAGCGGCAGCTTATGGAGGGGGTGAGAAGGTTTGGTCGTCGTTGGCGACACATTCTCTCTGTGTATCAGTTCCACCATTCTCGAACGTCTGTCAGCCTCAAAGACAAGTACAGGTATGTACATCACTACGACAACCCCATACTCTTTCTCCATTACATAATTCCTACAACAAATGCAACACATTCTTGGTGGGGCGAAGCGAGCAGTTCATTTTTTACACGTTTCGCACATTGTATGTGGAGCACCAGTGTGGGTCACAACATAAAAAATTCCGCATTCGCATGACAAGTTGGGCTCGTTTTCGCTCGCCAACACTCATGCATCAGGAAAAATGTACAATACAAATAATTGTGGTGATGGTGTGGGAAATGCTATATAAACCTAAACTGCCAGACACACTTGGATAGTTTACTGCTTTCTCAACCCTACCCCATTTTTCCCTTTTGCAAAAAACACCACCGTGTGTAAAGTCAGATTCAGACGCCTGTTTATTCACATATTGCTCGTAAACTACTGACTGTTTCTTCGTGAACAAAATATTGCATGTGTCAATATAGACTAAGGCACAATACGTCGCTTTCCCAGTCCGTTCCTTCCTGTAAAGTCAATCCTCACGATGCAGCAAGGCGGCAAGGCATGACATGACGGGGCAATTTGCTAAACAATACGTTGTAATCGCTATCTGATCAATGATGTGGCAGTACAATTTTCAACTAGCAATTTGTAGGTGGCAGCATATAGGGTTATTGTCCCTTTTCTCTTGCAGAAACCTCACCAACAGAAGAAAATAACACCTGCTATTGTACTATCATCAGTACAGAAATCACAGCTACAATAATGACTGCATAATCTCATTCATTATACAAAACAGTTTGGTGACATGAAAATGTGCATAATTGTCTTTATAGTGCCAATAGTTTGTATAGAAAAGACAATGGAACAATGTGATAGTTTGTGGAGAAAGACAATGGGACATTATAGAGACAAACAGAAAGCGACAATTGATTGATAGAAACAGCATGATGTCACGGTAGCAGTGTAATTAGTCAGTCAAGGAGATCAATATCACCCAACATGTGTTGTTGTCTGAATGGGTCAGCCTCCAGTTGAGTAAAGAGGTTCATGAACTGAGATGGATCATCTAGTCCTGCCTGAAGTATCTGGTAGGCCTGTAGTACAACAACCACATCATGTGCATACTCACACTTGCACACATCAACACACACTCACACACACACACATGCACACACACACACACACGGGCAAGGAGAACGCACGGTGTGCATATTGCCAGCAGGACATATGAATCTGGCAAATCGGCTGTCCTACTGCACACACACACACGGGCAAGGAGGGGACGGCAACGCACGGTGTGCATATTGCCAGCAGGACGTACGAATCTGGCAAACCGGCCGTCCTACTGCACACACACACACGGGCAAGGAGGGGACGGCAACGCACGGTGTGCATATTGCCAGCATGACGTACGAATCTGGCAAACCGGCCGTCCTACTGCACACCACACACACGGGCAAGGAGGGGACGGCAACGCACGGTGTGCATATTGCAGCAGGACGTATCGAATCTGGCAAACCGCTGTCCTACTGCCACACACACACACACGGCCAGGAGGGGACGGCAACGCACGGTGTGCATATTGCCAGCAGGACGTATGAATCTGGCAAACGGCTGTCCTACTGACGGCAAGGAGGGGACGGCAACACACGGTGTGCAATATGCCAGCAGCTGTATGATCTGCAAATCGGCAATCCTACGCACACACACACACCGGGGCCAAGGAGGGGACGGCAACGCACGGTGTGCATCTTGCCGCAGGACGTACGAATCTGGCAAATCGGCCATCCTACTGCGGCAAGGAGGGACGGCAACACACGTGTGCATATTGCCAGCAGGACGTATGATCTGGCAAACCGGCTGTCCTACTGCACACACACACACACGGGCAAGGAGGGGACGGCAAACGCACGGTGTGCATCTTGCCAGCAGGAACATATGAATCTGGCAATCGGCCGTCCTACTGCGGGCAAGGAGGGGACGGCAACACACGGTGTGCATAATGCCAGCAGACGTATGAATCTGGCAAACCGGCTGTCCTACTGCGGCAAGACGCACACACGGTGGCATAATGCCAGCGGACGTGAACTGGCAAATCGCCTCCTACTGCACACCACACCGGGCAGGAGGGGCTGCAAACACGTGTGCATCATGCCAGCAGACGTATGAATCTGGCAAACGGCTGTCCTACTGCGGCAAGGAGGGGACGGCAACACACGGTGTGCATAATGCCCACAGGACGTATGAATCTGGCAAACCGGCTTCCTACTGCGGCAAGGAGGGGACGGCAAACCACACGGTGTGCATAATGCCAGCAGGATGTATGAATCTGGCAAATCGGCCATCCTACTGCACACACACACACGGGGCAAGGAGGGGACGGCAACGCACGGTGTGCATCTTGCCAGCAGGACGTACGAATCTGGCAAATCGGCCATCCTACTGCGGCAAGGAGGGGACGGCAACACACGGTGTCTAATGCCAGCAGGACGTATGAATCTGGCAAACCGCTGTCCTACTGCACACACACACACGGGCAAGGGGGACGGCAACGCACGGTGTGCATATTGCCAGCAGGACGTATGAATCTGGCAAACCGGCTGTCTTACTGCACACACACACACACGGCCAAGGAGGGGACGGCAACACACGGTGTGCATAATGCCAGCAGGACATATGAATCTGGCAAATCGGCCGTCCTACTGCACACAACACACACACGGGCAAGGAGGGACGGCAAACACACGGTGTGCATAATGCCAGCAGGACGTATGAATCTGGCAAACCGGCTGTCCTACTGCGGCAAGGAGGGGGACGGCAACACACGGTGTGCATAATGCCAGCAGGACGTATGAATCTGGCAAATCGGCCGTCCTACTGCACACACACACACGGGCAAGGAGGGGACGGCAACACACGGTGTGCATAATGCCAGCAGGACGTATGAATCTGGCAAACCGGCTGTCCTACTGCGGCAAGGAGGGGACGGCAACACACGGTGTGCATAATGCCAGCAGGACGTATGAATCTGGCAAACCGGCCGTCCTACTGCACACACACACACGGGCAAGGAGGGGACGGCAACGCACGGTGTGCATAATGCCAGCAGGACGTATGAATCTGGCAAACCGGCCGTCTTACTGCACACACACACACGGGCAAGGAGGGGACGGCAACGCACGGTGTGCATCTTGCCAGCAGGACGTATGAATCTGGCAAACCTGCCGTCCTACTGCACACACACACACGGGCAAGGAGGGGACGGCAACGCACGGTGTGCATAATGCCAGCAGGACGTATGAATCTGGCAAATCGGCCATCCTACTGCGGCAAGGAGGGGACGGCAACACACGGTGTGCATAATGCCAGCAGGACGTATGAATCTGGCAAATCGGCCATCCTACTGCGGCAAGGAGGGGACGGCAACGCACGGTGTGCATCTTGCCAGCAGGACGTATGAATCTGGCAAACCTGCCGTCCTACTGCACACACACACACGGGCAAGGAGGGGACGGCAACACACGGTGTGCATATTGCCAGCAGGACGTATGAATCTGGCAAATCGGCCATCCTACTGCGGCAAGGAGGGGACGGCAACACACGGTGTGCATATTGCCAGCAGGACGTACGAACCCGGCAAACCTGGTGTGGCCATGTAGCGCTAAGTTTAAACACCTGAACTTGCCCGCCACGTCCTACAAGCCTTTTGCAATTGGCTTCCAGTCAGAATAGGGTCCGATGTGCATGGCGGTTGAGAGAGCAACTGGTGTCAGCGATTTCGCATTTTTTGTAGGCACATGAGCGGAAAAAGAGACGACCCAACTATCCTTCATGCCTTGAGTAGAGTTGGAGTATGGAATGGAAATGTCTTCTATCTCGCTGCACCTATCCCTATCTCCCCCAAATTTTGCCGTCCCCCCAAATGAGGGTGTCAACGATTTCGCATTTTTTGTAGGCACATGAGCGGAAAAAGAGACGACCCAACTATCCTTCATGCCTTGAGTAGAGTTGGAGTATGGAATGGAAATGTCTTCTATCTCGTTGCACCTATCCCTATCTCCCCCAAATTTTTCCAAGGGTGTCAACGATTTCGCATTTTTTGTACGCACATGAGTGGAAAAAGAGACGACCCAACTATCCTTCATGCCTTGAGTAGAGTTGGAGTATGGAATGGAAATGTCTTCTATCTCGTTGCACCTATCCCTATCTCCCCCAAATTTTGCCGTCCCCCCATAGTGTCAACGATTTCGCATTTTTTGTAGGCACATGAGCGAAAAGAGAGATGACTGAACTATCCATAACGCTTAGACTAAAGCTAGAGTATGGAATGGTAATGTCTTTCGATCTCGCTGAACCTATCCTTATCTCGCCCAAATTTTGCTGTCCCCTATGTATATCTCTTTCAGTCACGAATTCGGTTTCTGTGCCCAATCAGCATTATTCAGCAACTCTCCTGCACGCATGCGTAATTTTGCCCAAATTGACACACCCCTTTCATCCCGCACACGCGCACTGTGGCGATCTTTCTTCCTGCCATTTTACAGACTTACGCACAGCCTCTGTGCCTGCCTTTCAGCCTGCTGAGACATTTATGACATGACATGTCTCACTCAATCCGGACCTCGTTGCTTTTTTTTAAGAGTACTGAAAGGGTCAATGAAAGCAACATCAAAGCTCCGACCGCCACATTCAAGTGCTGACTGGCCACCTTTGGGCGGTTTTTTAATGAGATAACGCCGCAATGCCGCCCGCCTACAGGGTCAAAGTTCACAATTGTGCAAGTTTTGTTGACATTTCTAGAAGTTTACAACATTTTGTGATGGAAAGGATTCCAAAAAGAGCCCACCTGCTGAGACCCCTCAAGGTCAATCTCCTTCTCGGGAGGGAAGAGTCCAGGTGGAAACACCATGTTCATGTCCTTTCTCCTCTGAGGCTGGGCGACCTGCTGCTGGTACTCCACCAGCATCTGCTGGGCCTTCACTGCGTTCTCCTCCAGACTGGTCTCGGCCGGACTGGTGAGGAACGGAGCAGAGGGAGGGATGGAGTAGGCCGGAGCCATGTGCTGTGATGTCGTCATGTCTCCTGCCCATGACATCATCTGATCAGAAAAGAGAGGGAAGACTGTAGTACCCTTTGCATGGATGAAGAGGACACCAAAAACTGTGCAACTAAACTGCAACGAATTGTAAAATGTAGGCAACTTAATGGGAAAAGGTTTCGCGAACGACATAATTGGCGATGTTTTGATTTGCTCACTACAAACGAAACATAAAATCGGCGAAGTTTTCAGTCATGTCGTGGTATATATCAGAACCTGTCCAGCAGAAGGCCCTGCAGCGGCTCCGGAAGTCTGCTGTGGCATCACCAGATCCGGGAACAGAGCAGTGATCGGGTCTTCCTCTCTCCCTCCCCCACCCCCTGCCCCCTGCACAATAAAGTCGTAGACTTTATTTACTACTTTTCTGGAGTACAAGTCACGCCTGTGTTATATTCAGTGACTTTTTGCTTACGGCGTCCACAGAAAATTAGGAACATTTGCAATTTAAAGCATTAATATAAAATGGTTTTCTTGCTGCAAAACGCCTCGTCATCGCAACTCTTTCTCTGTTGTGTCCAACTGTGTATTGTACTAACCAGTTGCTGTGAAGTGAGTGAGAATCTGTCGTCAGTGGAGGACGAGGAAGGCGGAGGAGCAGGCAGGGCTGGCTGCTCCTCCGCCCTCTGAACCACTCCCTGGTCACTCTGCTTCGTCATCCTGATGATGTCATGGGTATTTGGTTGCCAGGCAACAGGGAAATTCCCCTGGCTTACCTCATGGCAACATTGGTGCAGACGACGTACTCAACCTGTTGTGAGAATGGGTTGATGAAGGAGAAGGCCTTCATGGCGAGCCACACCCACTTCTGAGCCTTGCTCAACACCCGGTACTTGACTGTTGGCATCGGCGTTCTTCTCTTCATGGCTGCACACGGAGAGAAAGCGTTGAAAGAAAGACACTCACAGTCTTGCAGATTCTAGATCCTTGTCATAAACAACACCTCTTTGCAAAGTAGTAGTTTACAAAACAGTATGCTGCCAGGGCAACAAGCCACACCCACCGTCATGATGCAGCTGCACCATCTTCTGTATGTCCTCTGGATGATAGTATTCGTAGGAGACCTGACCAATCAGATCCTGCGGCAGGTAACCAAGCACCCCCACCACACGGGGGTCAACGTAGGTGAACCGCCCGTCCGTCCCGATCCTAGCAACAAACTCATTCTCGCTGGCATCCATTGCTGCTCGCGGTGTCCCATCTCCGAAATGTTGTAGCCTAGCAACAGCGATGAGACACGCCCCCGACGACCCTTCCTCCATCTTTAGAGCTTGTTGCTCTGTCGTTGTCAGGTGACTGGGGAGAGACAGAGGGAGGGAAGGACATGAACGGAGGACAACGCGCATGCACGGCTATCATTCTACCATCCCACTTGCACTGCCCTCTGACGTTAACTGGGTCTAAAGGGAATATCCTTGCAAATACCAACTACAATGGCGCTACAGCGATACGTTACACCAATCGATGGGTTGCAAAGAGACAAGGTCAGGTAATGTGTATCTGTCCTAATGTGTGATTATGGTACATATTACACATTGTTACGTAACAATTCCTGATCTGCAAGTCAGGTCACCTCGCACAACCATAGAACACTATATAGTTCACTGGCGAGTGAAGAGGGATTGAAAAGGAGCAACACACCATATGAACCCAGTGCAGTGAAGAACGGCGTACTGCTGTTCCACATTCTGCTGAGTCGACTGCAGCAGTCTAATGACGTCCTCCGACCTCTGGTAGTCAACTCCGTCTCCATGACAACCATCCTAACAACAAAGAGGCAGGGAAGCACAGTAACAAACACATCAGATGAAAACACTGTCTATAAAAGTTTTCCATGTAAAATTGTAGTCAGTCAAATTTTTATTGCAGTCGTCTCAGAAAATTTTAGTTATTTTGCAAAGACGCAGTAGCTGCTCACCCCAGAGGTGGACCTGGAGGATTGGTCTGCTGTGTTTCTCCTGACACGGCAGAGAAATGACCTCCTGAGACCATTGATGTTCTGTCCCTGCAGCACCAGGGGAGCTGAGGGGGAGGTAGTGAAATGAGGGCATTTTCACAGGAGAGATATATGTATACACAGATTGAGAATGTGGTGCTTTAGCTACAGTTCGTAACACACCTCAAGTAAGGCGAGTTTATGTGTCCACACAAACTGACTGTATTGTAATGGATGGCTAGCACCAAATAACTGTATCATAGCTGTATTACGTAGTATTATGTAACTAGAAGTTAACTCACAATTTCCCACATTGTTCTTGACACCGGCCTTCATTGCTGTACAGAACATGATAATATTAGTATGTAACATCCTGATAGTATACAAGTAGTGCACAAGAGAATACTGCCTTTCAGTGAAAGTTTACTGAAGTAGTGCACAAGAGAATACTGCCTTTCAATAAAAGAACACTGAGAAGCATGCATGTAGTTCACACAAGAATACTGACTCACAATGAAAATATACTGAAAGCTCACAAGGGAATACTGGGTTTGTAATAGAGTATACAGAGAGAATACTGACCTTCGTCCAGGTCGAAGCAAGTGAGCTGACTCTTGACTTTCTGGATGTCTTTGGGATGGAGGAGGTCATAGAAAGACGTTCCCATCCAGTTCTCCACCGGTTCACCCAACACATCACTAGCAAACAGACACACACACACACACTATAATTATTGATGGTGGGAAATTTGAGTTCCTACCCAAATACCTAGCATATCTAGGGCATAGCTGGTGGGTGGGGTGTAGCGACAAAGGTACAATCTGATTATACATAGCATATCTAGGGCATACTAGCTGGTGGGGTGTAGCTACAATGGTACAATCCGATTAACAGAAATGTGGTTAAGTAAAATTGTGAGCAGAGCAGACAAAGATTGTAGGGCCCAGAGCAAGTGTGGGAGTGTGGTGAATGTGGTGAATGTGGGAGTATGGTGAATATGGGAGTGCAGGGAATATGTGACTGTGGTGAGGCTGTGATGGAGACTGACCTGATGGTGTCTGAAACAAACAGAATCCTGGCCCAGGAACACTCGATGATGATCATGAACCCATTAGCTGCCTGTACAGGACGGGAGTGAAAAGGAGAGGGAGGGAGAGGGAAGGGGTATTCCAAATCGTAAGACATTAAGGATATCCTGTCACGCCCCAGGAACAGCCATAATAGGTTCAGTAGTAATGACCCACAAAAGGAGGGACAACATCACGTAGAGATTCTGTAGGACAAACATACCTCCACAACAAGATGTTTTAGTTCATCATCAGTGAGGAATCCAGGTCTGTGGGGAGATGAGGAGTGCGGGTCTCCTGAGAGGAGGGAGAGGAGGGAGACCGACACACGTTACACTATGCAACAAGCTTGTCTCCACAGACATAATGGCAAAGACTAATATACATCCACAAACCTTGTGTTAATGACAGATAGTTGGTGGTACATGTATCCATACCTCTGAGTGTCTTCATGTGGTCCACAGCCATCTTAAGAATGGAGAGTTTGTCGAGTCTTCGTGGTACCGCAGCACAGGTCGGGATCATCTGTGCCAGTTCGTTCATGTAGCGATTCATTCTCTCTCTCCTCCTCTTCTCCACTTCACAATGCTGCGACCGCCTGTTGTGGCGTAATACACAACTGTGAGGAACAACTTCCGCGATTATTTCGTTTAAATCAGTGAAGTATCTTACGTGAGTATGTACTTGTTGCAACACACACCCACCCACCAACCAACAGCGTTGCAAACTTTGACCAATTCACCAAGGTTTTACTCACACATTACTGCACACATGCAATTTTTCTCCTCCCAACTCACTTCTCTCTTGCTCCTACTCCCTCTCCTTTGGCTTACTTGGCTTCAGTGGAGAGTTTACTGCCTTTTCCTCGCCCTCCTCCCATATCTTCATCATCAGACATACCTCCACCCTCCATAGCAACGTACGAACTGTCTCTAAAGCCAGGAACGAGATGAACGACCGGTCATTACACCGTCATTGCTCTAGACGCCAACTAATTCAATTCGTCTGAGGTTTTGGCAGACAAAAGCGCTTTGACGCTCCTACACGTTTCCTTGCGGCGAAAGAGGTCGTTAGACTTACCCCAACTTTTGTCTCTTCTGCCCCGGCACGCCGCCGGCCATGACTTGATCCTGGTCTTGCGGAGGCACTCCCATCATGGCGCCATGATGCCCGGCCCCAAGAGCTCTCATATGAGTCATTTCTCTCCCTCCCTCGCCGTGTGAACACGTCAACTTCTTCCTCGACCGAACGGAAACACATACGTACATGTACGCGCGCGTATAAACACGTACACGGAATATGCAACGGTAAAAACGGAAAGTTTACGGATATTGTCACATTTTTGCGTCACACAGTGTCTTCGCCTTCCCTTCTCTCTCTCTCCCTCTTGGCAGACCAGCTTCCACTGCTATGACACTCATCAGGCACTGTCTTTCATAACTCTATTTCTCTTCTTTTCAGCCTTGCTTTCTTTCTTCTTTTCCTTTTTCTCCCCCTTTTCACCTCCCCCACCTTCTTCCCCCTCCACCTCTCGCTTTCTCTTCCCTTTTTTCTCCTTCCTCTCTGAATCCTCCTCGTCCTTTTCCTGCTTTTGTTTCCTCTTTTTCTTCTTTTTCTCTTTTTTTGTCTCTAACTTTTCAACATCATTTTCTGCTTTTCCCTCCTCTTCCTCCTCAATCAAATAGTCTCCTCTAAGAGAAAGCAAGTTTCCAGTCACCTCAATGCGACTGACACTAAACCAGATTCTTTCCCCAGTCTCAAATGCTCTGCTGCACCAACTCTTTAGCCTCTTTTCCTCTTGCTCTTTACTGAAGACGGGGAAGATTAAAAAAAGTCAAATAGTACACCCCAGAAGAAAAGGTGAACGTTGCACAATGTCAGTAACCCTCAAACCATTTCCTGCTATATATGGCTGAATTGCTGGCTCTATAATTATAGAAAGCCCTATGTTGACATAATTATGTATACACAGATTTTGCTGTAAAGTTATACGTGAGATGGTCGAGAGGTGAGCATGTGACTGCAGTGTTGAAACAGCCAAACAGAAGACAACCAATATGGTCCACTCCAACCTTGTTTACCTCCCCACACATCACATTCCCTGCCTGCATTACATCATTATGACATCATCTGTACCGTAGGAAGTAGTATTATATACCTGAGGCCTGAAGATGGTGGCAGAGTATTCAATGTTGATATGGATATGTGGCAACTCATCATATATGTGCCCTGTTCTACACAGTTGGTATAATAGGAGAGAGAGAGAGAGAAATAGTAGTTGTTGACTGAACATGTACACGACAATGAGACAATGTGTTTCCATGTAACATATGTACAGTAACTTACTATGATGACATGCACAATAAAAAATGGGAACAACAATCACGTCAATACAACGAATACTGCTACTTACTACCTGTGAAGGACTCGTATACGATCAAAGGCCATCAGTACTCCTCCGTACACTGCGTGGTAGTGGAGAATACGGCTGGCTAGTTCCTCAGTCACTCCTGTACCTACTCTCCCTTGTACGGCAGAGATCAAAGACAAATGGACTACTAGAACGACAGGACACTGCCTACCGAGGTATGAGGGTAGCAGGGTCACGTGCTCCTTCACTTCCATCGCTATGAAACTGCTAGAGCTTTGCTGAACTGCCTTCTCTGCTTCATAAACCGACTCTTCTATCATGACCTTCGCGCTTGAACTGCGCACGTGTGACAGTTGGTGAACTTTGAACTCTTATTTTCATATCTAACCCTTTCCGTACGAGTCCTTGCTCTCTTCCTTTCCGCGTGTTAGCGATAATGGTAAGTTGAACTGTATCTGTTTTAATCATTTTCCCATTGTATGTATGGCGTCGCTGAAGAAGATGAAAAATGTGTGGGTGTCTATATCTCTTCTCTGAACAGGTTTCAAGGCTGAAGAAAACGCGCAAACTGCGCGGTCATGTCTCGCACGGCCACGGTCGAGTAGGTACGTCTGCTACTGAGCTCTTAGTGCGAGTGTTGACTTGAGCTCCGCACGCAGGCAAACATAGAAAACATCCTGGTGGCCGTGGTAATGCTGGAGGGCAGCACCATCACAGAATCAACTTCGACAAATAGTAAGAACTTGTGTCTACTAGAATAAATGAACCATCTCTCTCTCTCTCTCATCTCAGTCACCCTGGGTATTTTGGAAAGGTGGGGATGCGGCATTTCCACCTGACAAGAAACAGGTACCATCAGCCGGTGGTAAACCTGGACAAGTTGTGGTCGCTGGTCTCAGAGCAAACCAGAGCTGCCTACAAGGACAGAACTGACAAGGCACCCGTCATCGACGTAGTGCAAGCTGTAAGCCTCTTCCTCTCCTTGGTCTTGGTGCATTCAATTCTTCACTGTACCCCTCGACCCCCCACTGTTTGCAATTCGTATCCCCATCCTTTCTAATTAATGCTCTCCCCCTGCCTTCCACTGACAGGGCTACTACAAGGTGTTAGGAAAAGGAGTGTTGCCAAAGCAACCAGTCATCGTGAAGGCCAAGTTCTTCAGTCGAAAGGCTGAGAGGAAGATCAAGGAAGTGGGCGGGGCTTGTGTTCTGGTAGCATAGCAACTGCTCTTTCATTGTTCCAATTGTACCATAATTATTATATCTTGTCAAAAAGATTTTTGATTGTGATTTCGATTGTGGAGATGTGTGCCGTTAGTGTTGTGGATTGAGCTGTGGATTGAGCAGGGTTTTTCCACCTCATCTGCCACCAGAAGAGTGGGGGATGACAGGGGGTTGTCAGGTTGCGCAGTATATAGCACGGTTGATGGAAATGATAATAGATTGTGGATAAACACACCACGTACAGCTATAATGGGCAGCCAGCGATGATAATAAATGATGACCCTAAAGGAAATAAGGCTATTTGTATCGCGAGGCACTGTTGACACGAGGTCGTGGGAGGTCTCCAAAGACACCAGTATTCTGGACACTCAATGCCAGAGCCTTTATGGAGCTGGCCATGTCAGCAGGTCCTCCCGCCACCCCCGCTTCTCTCTGGTGATATGAGGCAGTGGGAAATAATGGCCAGTAATTGATTAGCATTTGCTTGCACAGAGTTTTCAAGGCAAAGTATTGTATCACCATATCCAGTGGCTGAGAGTGAAGAGCTGTAATATTTTGTTTTTAGTCTGGTAGGCAAAACAGAGTAATTTCACTAATAGTCTTGTGGAGAGTCTCACCATATCCTGTGGCTGTGAATGGAAGAGAGGAACAGAGAGTGGAGCAGATGAGGCTATCTGGACTGATGATAGGTCTCTATAGGAACTATCTACAGACAAGAAGACGATATTATGCCGGTTAACTCACTACCATTGTTCCAGATGTACAAAGTGAATGCAAAGGCAGTATGTGGCAACATGAGGTTCCTTCATTCAGAGGCACCCAGATAAGACACGGCTATTACGCTGTTACGGAGGTGTCCTTTAATTGGAGTGTCATTGTTTCAGTGTCCACTAGAAATTCCAGACAGCAGAGGGAAAACAGACCGTCTGTCCCACTCTCTTCATCGTCACTCTGAGGGAAAGCCACACCTCCTTTCTCTCCCCCGTCCACTTCTTCCACCTCCTCGTCAAATCCGTCCAATGAGAATAGAGCATCGTCTGCCACCGGCTGGGAGAATGCATTACATCATTATGACATCATCAGTATATCACATGATGTGAATACTTTATTGTTGGGGGTGGGTCTTGGGTCACTGAGGGTTATTGTCACTCTCTTCTGCTGCTGAAAAATGGAGAGGTTCTCTGATTAGTATACTTCGAATATCCTGACTAGTATACTTGGTAACTGAGAGTATCCAAAGAGTGAAACTGACATTATCAATGGAAGGAAAAGGAGAGGAGTTTGGAGATGGGTGTGGCTGACTGGCCCCATCCTCTTTAGCCACGCCTCTTCTTGCTTTGTCTATTGCTCTATTGTAAAAACCAATGATGTCATAATGATGTAATAATCTCGTAGTCCTCACGCAAAGAGCAGTGTTCTCTGAGTGAAGGTCTTGTGCTGAAGTCTGGCAAAAGTATCTTTCTCTTTTCTCTCAAATTCTCTAATTCTCTCTTCCATATCTTCCTCTTCCCTCGCCAGGTACTGCCTCACCTGACAGCCAGCAAGATTTACTTCTTAAATTACGTGGTTTATTAGAGAGTTTTACATAATAATAACTTTGTTGGATTGCAGTACCACAAATGCTATTAAAAGTGTTACTCTATATACGGTGTATATAGCATATATAGACAGGACTGACATACATGGTAAAGATAGTTCACCTGGGTATGGAGCTGCCTTATCAGTGGGTCATCTCTTCCAAAACTCATGGAGGAAGCTGAGGAGAGGAAATGACAAGAGATAACAGTGATAAGATACCCCAGGCCAAACAATTAAGGAAGAGAGGGGCTGGCACGAGTAGGTGCTAACAAGGACACAGACAAAAATGAGTAATGCTTTTCCAAAACAGCATCTGCTGCGATTTTGTGGAGGGTTTACTCATTTTGCTATTTTGTCACCACTATCCCAATTGAGACAGTTGGGATGCAAGTGAAGTAGTCATTGAAGACCTCATAAGCCATGGATGTGCACCTCTGACAGAGGCAGTCTCCTTACCTCTTGGTCTAGCCCCTCTTCCCATCTCCTCCTCCTCAGAGTCCAGGTCAGGGTTCACAGCTATCCTGAACACACTGGAGTAGTGCAGGTGACCTTTGACCTGTGCTACATCTTGATCTGTGGACTGAGCGAGAAGGAAATAGTGATTATACACACAGTGAGGGAGTAGAGATGAAGTCCTCTTTATAGGCAACATGAGGGCACTAACGTTTCTTGCATGCAATGATCCGACTCCCTTAGCTATAATAATATAATTATTTTCTTCCATCAGTGTCCTGATTATAGGGGTACTACAGTGAAGTGAGGTCGTAAAAGTAGTCCAGAAATAAAGGCTCACCAGGAGTCCAGGACAGACCAATGTCCTGTTCTTCTGGCAGTGAGAAACACAAACGTCGCAGCCACAGTTTGCACAGCTCTGAATCGTCCAGTCACCCACCGTCTCTGATTGCAAGAGGACCACGTGTTCCTGGAGCAAATCACGTGATGCTCACTGAGATATACCCTCTCTAGAAACAAGCGTAGTGTTGCAACTTACAGCTGTGAGTCCATGGAGGTCTTGTTCTACCTCGTGGAGGGTCAGAGTTGTGAGACGGTGGCCTGGAGCCAGGACTCTCTCTCCAGGCACGGGCCTCGTCTCCCACTTCTCCTCCTTACAATGGAGGACTACGTTCAGACAGCGGCACCTCAGTCTCGCCATCTGAACCTCCCCGTCTCCTCGAGGCTCCCTCCCGCCAGTCGAGCGCTGTAGGATGATGCAACTCCCTGGCGCTCCGCCCCCTCTTCGTCGATATAATGCGCATGCGCATAATTCTGCAGCGTAACATTCCACTAGAAAATCCTTGCACACATTAGTGCTAAATCCTAATTGTCAAGCATAAAAGTGTGCATGTGTATGTTGTTGCTAGTCTGTTTTAGTTGGTACATACCCACACCTGCAATGGGAAAGGGGAAATGGTCTATAATTATTGTATGATTATAGAATCAATACCTGTGTGCCCACAGCTCAGTATATATGGTTGTCATTGGCAACCACATATGAGAAGTCAGACTTCTCTTCTCCCATTAATTTCATGTTTCCACCTTCCTCCTTCCACCCCTCACTGCTCATGTTTACATATGATGTCACAAACGAAACTCGAGGCTTGTGGGGGGTGGACCTAGAATGGGAGAAAACTGGCTATCACTGACGTGTGTGTATAATATCAGGACTGTAGCAAAGGCTGTAAGAGTGAGGAAGAAGTTAACCTTTTCCTTCGTTGGTCAAAGAGATACTTTATGAGTCCAGTGACAATTACTGACACCACCACCAGGCTTCCCAGGGTTACTATGACAACAACCCCCACTCTGTGATCATCATCATTCTCCTCATCATCCTCATCATAATCCTGTGCATTGTTCTGTTGGTGTGACATCATGTGACATCATGTGACATCTGTGACATAACAGGGCAGTAATGATTAGAGACTCACGTTGTCCAGGGAGGAAGAAACAATATCGTACGTTGGGGAAGTGGGTGTGGTCTCTGTTCTATTGGGTGGAGTTTTAGAGGAAACTGGGGAGAAGCAAAACAGGATATGCCAACTTGCTTTTTTACACGGCGGATCAAATCCTTTCGCATTTACACATGTTATTTCCGCTACATACGGTGCTAGTAAATCCAGTTGTAATCAACCCAAAAACCCTTAAAGAATTTGCTTACATGCTCTCCATTTATCCCCGCTGTACATACAACCCTAAGGAAAGGTATAGGTCTTGGTATAATACCTGGCAGCAGACAGCAGGAAATGGTGGCCTGAAGAAATATGGATGGAGAAGAGGAATCTCTGCGATGGCATGAATGTCGCACCTGCACAGATAAGTAATTACATAACTATGATGAAAAACTGCTATGGCCAACCTCTACTGAGGCACCAGTGTTGAATCCACATGTACTAGTGGCAATTGCCTGCCACTGCTTCTGTGTTCGACAGCTGACGATGCTCACTCCAACATCTCGCCTCCAGCAACCCTCATCTGTGGTGTGGGGAAAGAGAAACGACAAACTGTGCCACTGAGAGATAGGTTAAGTTCACTGTATTGGACTTTTCACATGTTAACTAAACAAACGACTTGTCAATGGATCATTATTATCCTACCATCATCATCATCAGGCTGTTGTTCTTTCTCCACACAGTGTGGCACTGGTAGCTGGAGAAGATCGTTGGCAACTGTCACACACTCACGGTCACCTGGACACCTGTACATATATACACAGGACCAAAGCTCATGCCAGATTCACACAAGCAGGCCAATAGGACCAGCCATATATATAGCTACTTGTAATGAAGACAAGGATTAGTCCACATCTGTGCGCCTTCATCGACGTTTGGCTGGGCCAATGCTCCACCCAGCAGCCCTAAAACCTGCAGATTGTTAGTTTGTAGCGCTGTACGGTAGCGCTTAGTTGGCTCACCACAAGGCCAAGGACGACCAGCGCATTCATGACACACCCCCTTTCTGCAAGTTCGACCAGCCCCTCCCTCTTCTTCTAACGCGAGCTCTAGTACTTTTACTCACCACCAGACAGCTGTAGTTCACAACAAACTGGCTATCGTCACGAGCACTAAAAGCATCTAATTCTAATAACTTCCTGAGGGATAATTTTACGTCTCTGTGAATTCAGTTCGCCCGCACAACGTCTGACGTAGACTAAACTACAGACGTGAAAGGTTTTTTTCGCTCTATCGTTTATCGACATTTTGTGAATGTTTTATATGCCATCCAGACTGTGTAACAGTAGTCAGAAGAGCGGCAAGGATGGAAGAGGTGTAGCTAGCTAGCTAGAGATATTATATCGCTCAGTCATTTTTACGCATGCGCAGTATTGCGGGCGCGCGCATGAACGAGCGCCGCGCGTGGCCTCCGAAAGATCAGTGTCTCCAAGAAGTGAAGCGAAGAAGGCAAACTCTGAAGCTGAGAGAGCTGTGGCTGCGGTATGGACACCGTTGCAGCGTTACCGCCGGAAGACCCCGAGCTATTTATCCCCAACATTTCGTCCGAGGCAAGCGACGGAGCGACTATTCTGCCTGCCATCGCCATAGCTCCTCCTCTGGTGGCCCACGCCGGCAGAGCCTACGTGGACCGCATCCCTGGTGGACCCATCTTCCAGTCCTACACCACTCTCTGCACACAGGTACGGCTGAATGCTGGAAAAGCCTTCCTACTGTGTCGTTCAGCTTCCCTTCTTGCTGGGAGCTGCTAAAACCGTATGCATGTACCCAGGATCTGTGTTGGCAGCCTGGAAACGACACAGTTCCTGCCACTCTCTTGGCTTTATTTGCTGCCTCTTCTTAGGCTTCCTTGACAGTCGTCACCAGGGCATTCATTGTCTTGTACTCGACGTGCAGGTTTTTCAAGGGCAGTGTGCCTTTCCCGTGCATGACGCAACTTCTCACTTTCTCTAGCTAGCTCAGAGACACTCTGAGGATGCTACTTTTAGCATGTACGTTTGCTCGTAATGCTAGGCTGTCGCTGCAATGGCTACTGCTGCGGAGACGTAACACGCGTCCATACGGGCCTTGTTGTTCCACTGCTACTGCATGTCCTGTTGACCGAACCGCGGCAGACGCCATTTCATTCACACTTGTTCTCTCTTCACAGGTGCAGCTGCACACGACTTTCCACTACCCGCCAACACCTCCCGTGGAGGGAGATGGTTGCTCGGCCGACAAGCTACATGTCGTGGCGGACACGGCGCTGGCCTTAGCCGACGCGGCGGCAATGCACGATGTGAAGGCCGCGGTACTGCAAGGCCCGAGCCCCCAGACACAGCAGTTCCACAGTCTCCCGACTCCGCCGACCCCGGAGCTGTCTGTGGCGTCTCTGCAGCAGCAGATGACTGGAGGAGAGCTGGTCTCGGCCTCGTCCAGCCATAGCTGTCAGCCCGCCGCCGACACCCCTGCCTACGGGGCCGAGCCTTCCAAACAGCAGCTCTACCAGTGGCAGGCGACGAACTCCAACTTCTGCGTGATGGGTCCGTCGCAGTTCGCGGCTCCAACGCAGGCAGCTGCGTTCCCTGCACGTCGTCCGCCACCCCTCTACTACCAGGCGACCTCGGAGAAGACTAGTGCCGTTGCGGCTCAGGTTCAGTCGGGTCCTCTGCGCAGCCCCATGTCGGAGTTTGTGGTGATGAAGGAGTGCATTGACGGTGAGCTGCTAGTGTGTATACTTAGCCCTCTCTTTGTGTATATTTCCAGCTATGATAGTTTCCCTACTGAGATAGCTAAAACGGGTTGGTCTGCACCTCCGTATGCAAAGTAGTAATGTGAAAGTAGTAATGTGAAAGCAGAAGTCCGATTGGCTGGTAATGCTTGCTAGGCTCTACATGAAGATTTAACTGTGGCAGAGCTTTGCCTATGGGTTAGTGCCAGTTCCAGTAAGAGGGAAGAGTGAGGCTGGGTAAATTGAGAGGTGGGAGGGAGGGGAAGTGGAATATGAACTAGTCCAGAAGAAGGGAAAAGGACATTCCTTCTTCCACCCTGTGACCCCTCTGACTGAGGTGGTGGTGGTGTGGTGGCAGGTAGTTGGGGAATGGGAGAGGCTGAGAGAGCAGTCTGCAGTGTTGGCCCAGATAGCAGGGTGGCGCCTAACACCTCCCGATTCATGACCTTGCTGCCCTTCCCTCTATACACACACACACACACAGGTAGCTAGTCTCCTGTTCATCTCTCTCTTCCTCTGGTTGTTTGCTGTTAAAGTATCTATCTCCCTGTGTGTACAAACCACCCGAGCATTGAAGTTCAATCATTGCGCCATCTCTATCATGTCACAACTGTGGACTCATTTCAACCTATTACAAGCCAGCCACCGTAGCTGCTGTAGATACGGATTATCTCCCTCGCCCTGCAAAACATGGGACCATTTAGAAAGTTACTACGTATTTCCCTTCCTTTTCCCTCCCTTCCAACTGGCTGTGGAGAAGGAGTAGAGTACTCTCAACTGGTGAAACTTTCACTCCTGTCCACCCCCTGCCACTACTTACTGCGACTAGTAATCATATTCATAGACCTGTTGAAACCCAATTTCTACCTAGTCATGCTTATTGTGCTTCATTAAAGTGTATATACTTGTTTTAGGTGTAATATAAATAATCTTCTGGGGCTAGTCAAGTAGGAAAGTCTTGCCAGCTATTCCCTGTAGCTGAAGCCAAACCTTTGCCCACACCATATCACACATTTTCTTGTTCTACTTATAGTCTTGACAACCATCTTATTGTGAGCGATTGCTATGGTAACGTGCTCCTTTGTCCCCCTCCCACAGGCACCTTGTCCTACAACCCGAACCGTAACTGTTCCAACTGCGGGGCTACCTCGACTCCTCTCTGGAGGAGAAATCCTGAGGGCAAGTACCTCTGCAACGCCTGTGGTCTCTACTATAGAGTCAATGGAACTAACAGAAACAACACCCAGAAGAAGAAGGTGAGGCACTGCTGTTGGCTGGGGTGGTGGAAAAAAGGTGCTAATTTCTGTGAGTCTTTTCCTGTCAGTCCTCACCACCTGACTATATATAGACTGAGATAGTGCTATATATACCTTGACTGGGGTCTTATGTCACATTTTCACTGTTGTTTCCCATGGCCCTAGCTAGCTGTGTCCCCTGTTGGGAGAGACAGACCATCAGCTATGCTCCGATAAGGAGATGGAACGATAGTGCTGTTGTGTTTCATTGTTTGCGTCCTGAGCCTTCCCATCCTCTCTTCCTCCCTTCTCTCTCCCTCATGTTGACTCTCTGGGGTCTCCGCCCGCTGTGGGGGCATTTCCCCCTCTCACTCTCTTCGCTCTGCGAGTGTGCATTTGTTTTGAGAATTCACAACTACTCTACTTGTCCTTTGAAGAAGCGTATGCATTTGCTTCAGTTGGCGAATCTCAAAATCGGCTTGTAAATGTTGAGAGGTTAATGAATTTGGACTAATCGCACGTATATTTCTGCCACCCTCCCTCCCTCACAGAAAACCAATCTGAAGTGTATGAACAACAAGTGTTCCAATTGCGGCACCACTAAGACAGTTCTGTGGCGGAGAATGGAGAACGGAGATCCGGTCTGCAACCCATGCGGTCTTACTACAAACTCAACGGAGTAAGTCCTCACCTTCTCTGGGGTGTTGGAGTACTTCTACCCCAATGTTGGCAGGGAACTACAAAGTTCTTCCTCAATGTATAATTTCAGTGTTATATGGGATGGGAGTTCTCACCATCATTGGAGTGTGGCAGTGAGATGGAGTATATTTACCCCTGTTGGATATTGGTGTAATCTCTTACCTCACCAAGTTGGGTAGGTCCCAGGCTGTTGTCATAGTGAGTCTGTTGCTGAGTAAACTTCATTGTCATGTGAAATTCATATCAGATCCTCTGATTAGATAAAGAAATGACTAGTAGCTCTTTAGATCTGCTGATAGGTATATACTTATGCTCTGCTTTAGTCCATTGTTCTGTCTTATGATTGTCATGTGACCCCTGCCCAGGGCACCTCTTACTCTCATATTCTACTTATACGTACTCTTACTGAAGGAAGAAAGAAGGAATGGAGGGGGTTGTGTAAGTGTATCTATCTATTGGTGTTTGCTGGCTGGGTGGTGAAAGGTGAGGAGGGGATGTGGCAGACAGATTAGCAGTAGTTCAGGTTAGTTTCAGGTGTAAACATAGTGTTGGTTGGCATATCCTGGTCTGATAAGAGGTGGAGGAGGTATGATAACATGCCTGGTGCACATGCTCTCTGAAGCCCTAGTCTATTACTGGAGGGACTGCAGGACTTTTCCCTTCAATTCTTCCTTCCCTCCTCTCCTCGTCCTTCCTTCCCTCCTCTCCTCTCCTCTGCCTATGGCCTGCGGTTCATATTATGTACATTAGAGGCTGTGTCCATGAAACTTTCAGTGCAGCTTCAACGCTATAACGGCCTCGAGGTTCTCTAGTTTCAGTAGAGATATGGCCAGCATGTGTGCAATCCTTCAGGGCTCTCTAATTCCTGGAGTTTACGAGGTATGGTCAGTTGCTAGAGGATCACATGGAAGTTGGAGCTAGTATGGGCTACAGCAAGGTCCATGTAGCATTAACATTGTTACATCAGAACATCAAAAAGGTTGCAGACTGTACTCTGAAGTGTCATAAGTGTTGCAGACGGGTTAGCTCTAAGTGTCAGGTTGAGGAGCATGTTTACCCCTCCGGGACACTCTATGGCTTTCTGATGCCAGCTGTGCCCAGTGGAGCGAGACCACAGGAGGCTGGCTGGAGCCTGTGAGTAGATTCACACTTCCCCTTTCCGTAGTAGTCTGCCGCTCTAGCTATGATAGCTGCCCACTGCTGCCTGAGTTCCCAGACACCCCTGCCTGAACCTGTCCACCATTGTGTGTTACTCTCTCTCCCCTATTCTGCTCACAGTACAACAGACCTCTGACTCTGGTGAAGGATACAATTCAGACCAGAAACCGCAAGTCCACTGGCAAATCATCCAAGAAATCCAAAAGCAAGAAAAGCAATCACCTCTCCCTTCCTCCCATCCTCTCTGCGTCTGTCTCCCTTGGCAACGGGACCACACCCACGGGAGATGGTCGTAGATTCGTCCTGCCTTCGCCTGTGTCGACGTCGCAGTACGATACGAGGTTTGATGTAGTTGGGTATGCTCCTGCCTTCTCCCAGCCATCTTCTTATCCGTCCCTGCCTCCCTACCTCCCCTCCCCTTCTCTCCACATTGCTGCCAGGGACGCAGAAGACATGAAACCCACCAAAACTTTTGCCTTCTCTTTCCAGTCACCAGCCACCTCCACCATTGCCCCCGACAACAAAACTCCCCCCGCCCACCGTGGTGTTGTCCATGGAAACGGGGTTGAGGTAGGTGGGGAGGGAGGAATTGCGGGAATGACTGCCATCAATCCGTCGCAGTACTCAGCCTTCTCACCGTTTGCGTCGGATGCTGCCAGTGGGTTGTCTCCCCTCCACTGCTCCCCTCACACCCCACTCCACTCGGCTCCATCCCACCACCCCATGCAACCACAGGTCATAATGTGATAAACTATTGGGGCAGCACTTATTTTCCCAGTCGCACCTTTGAATTGCTACCACTGATGAAAAGCTATCTGTTCCACCAATAAACAATGCACAGGTTTGGGTGACATAATTAATAATATTATCCCCCCAATACAGTGACACACTTGTACAGACTTAATAATTAGGACAGAAAGTCACACTTCCTTGTCACAGTGTAAAATTGTTCATTATGTAAGTCTCAATCACATATCACACATTGCAGCACCCCCTCCCTAAACTCACTTTCTCACCCATCCCAAGTCACTTCAATCTTCACCCACTCCCCAAGTCACTTCTTCACCCACTTCACCACCTCCCCAATTCGTGGAACAGCTATCACTTGCATCAAATCACTTACATCTTTCCCCTCTTCCCTCATCCCACTCACCCAATGCACACTGTATCACTTACTCAAAAAATGGGTATGGCCTTGTATTAGAAGCCACACCCACCAGGTAATTAATAAACACTGTCACTCCCATAAAGTGTGTTTTTGTACATTTTCTACTTATCGTCAGATTTTTAGTGATAATATGAGAGAGTCAAATGTATATAGTCACGGTTGGTGTGTCTACTGGGTGAGTGGGTGTGGCTTGTACTGCTCCACTCTCGCAAGAAGGGAGTCCGAATAGCCAGGTGAATAGTACCTGTGGATACGTTGTGGTGTAACAGACTGAGACGTCGGTCACAGGTAGGCGGGGCCAACACGTACCTTACTATCTCCTCAGGATAGCAGCTGTTGATGACTCGGATGTGCTCTGCCAGAACAGAGCCAGGCTGGCTGCTGATCTCCTGGACCTGTGGAGTAGTAAACTCTCTCCTAGCTGTAACCTTCTCTTCACGATCCCCACCTTTTTCAGTCCTCCAGAGGTGACAAACAGCCTGCGAGCCTTTGGGTCGTGTGGGAGGACCTTAGAGAACTGGCCGACCACATGTTTGAGGATGTTGGGAGGAGCAGAGTGCAGGAGTGGCTCCAGGGCTGGTAGGTGAGTGCAGTGACTCAGAATGTTCTTCAGTGCTCTCTTTGACTGCAGGCAGGTATATATAATACAGACACACAGTAATCACTGGAGGCAGTAATACAGGTACGCAGTGATTGTAGTCAGTAATCAGATTTTTGTCGGATATCGCTAGGCAATGAACACAGCCGATTGATTGATGGACAAAGTGACGATTAACATCCATGAACTTAGGAAACCAGTTGAATCAATCAACTTACAGAACAGGTACGTAAATCGACAAAGTGACAATCGAACATACACTATAAATAAAGAAAAGCTTCGCCAAATTGATCAATGAATGATGGATGGTTGAGGAACATACAGCAATGTCAATATACAGAGATTAACCTCAAACTAGATATGAACTTAAGAGGAAATCAAACTATTAATAATAAGTCAAACAGGAAAGTAACTCATACTGAAGAGAAAGTCAAATTGAATAATAACTCAAGAGAAAGTCAAACTTAATAGTCTTCGAGAGCAGTGAACGCATTGTGGTTAGCGTAACAGACGGTGGCAGCATCAATCACACCCAATGGCGGTACAAATACAGATGAAACTGCGTCCCATCCATTGAGAGAATAGACGAGGAAAGACGACTTGTAATTATTTTGGTGTCATCGGTACGGCCAGTACACTTTTACCATTATAATACGTAATATGGTCGTTCTTCACCACAATACGTGTGACGCATTCGTGGTCTTAGTGCACCAATTAAGCAAATACGCCAGGATTGCTCAGAAATGGTAGGAATCCATATTATAAGATCTATTGATGGCACACTAATTGTGGCTGAAATACAGCCGCATGCCGAACAGACACAACCCTCGCGCAGGGTGTACGAGTCCCTTTGAGCTCTACATGCCACGTATATATACATCATGATACTTGCAAGGTGTCCTAATTGGACAAGTCGGCTGCACATGTACCATTGTTCTACGTGATTCTTGATAATAATGTGTGAAATGTGAATTGCTCACTTCACTTGGCAAAAATGTGTTGCTAGTATAGTACCTTTAGCTGTAGGTCTTCCGAGCTGGTAGAGGCCAGGTGTAGTTCCAGTAGCCGTGGCAACACGTTGGTACCGGCAACGGCCTTGGCGTGCTCAGCAGTGTGTCTGCCGATCTGACCCAGAGCCCAGCATGCAGCGGCCTGGTTGGGGAGGAGGGAGAGAGAAGGGAAAGCTGGTGGAATGAAGAGGAAGGAAGCAGTGTTACCAGAACATGGTCTTCAGTCTCCTCCTCCAGTGAAATAGCCAGCTGCACAACTCCCTGTGTATGGGGGTTCAACCTAAGGCTGAGAGCTAACTACGTATTGTGTTAAGAGACATAGCTGAACACCTCTGTAGTGCGTTTGAAACAGAGCCATGAAATCTCTTACACTGCAATACAATTTACTGGGTACATAGCTGTACCCACAGTGTATACCTTTGAGGCAATGACAGCCATTCCTAGAGCCTCAGAGTGAGCTCCCACATATCTGTGGAAACAAGATTTGGTCACGGGGGAGAGGAAAGGGGATTGTACCCAAGTGTCATGATGGCTGGGAGAGTGGCACTGCCGCTGCTGTCTCCGATATACTCTACCACTGCTGACAGACCTCCTGAGTTTACCACCAACTGGGCCAGCTGTGGGGAAGAGGTGTAGGGGCGTGGGGCGAGTGTATATCACCACTCACCTCTGGAGTATGGCGGACCACCTCTCGTGTGAGGGTAGCTGCGTTCTTCCTCACATAGTCATCAGAGTCTGTGGGTGTAGGGAGAGTTGGCTACCAACTGATTGCTACAGCGCACAATTCTATTGCAGAGACCTCAATCCATGCTAGCTACATCGTGAGGTATACAACATGTTGTATGAACCACCATACCCATTGAAGATCAATCCATGAGACTTTGTGTCTCATGCACGCAAAGCTGCAATGGTGTTAAGAAAGACTTGCCTTTAAGTTCAACCAGCACAGCAGGGAATATGTCTGCCTCGACTACCATTTCTGCCAGCTCCAGAGAGTGCTTAGATATCTGACTCAAGGCACTCAAGACCTGTCTCTGTAGAGAGTGGGGGGAGGGGGTGCTGAGAAGAGAGGAAGGCGATGGGAATTATGTAACCTTCAGCTTGTGGTCAGAGCTGGAGATGTGTTTTGTTAGGTGAGCAATGGCCCCAGTGTCCACCACAGTCTGCGCCAGCTATACATCAAGAACAAGGAAAGAGAGAGAAAACGAGAGAAATTTTGCAGGAATCATCTGCGGGAGAGAATGTCACAAAATACCACGCAAGGTGTGGATGTGAAACTGATCTCCCTCAGTCCATGTAATATAACACAAACCTCTGGAGAGTGTTTGCTGATGTCAGAAAGAGCAGAGGCTGAAATTCTCTTCAAGTCCATCTCTGGCTCCTGCACTGCCAGAACCAGCAGAGGGACACACCCACTGTCTACCACTGCCTGCGACAGCTCTGTCAGTCACATGATAATCACATGAGATTTGGACAAGATACCAGACCCTGGTATATAGTACTTGTTAGTTATAGCAATACTGACCAGCATTGTGTCTGGCGATGTATCCCACAGCCCAGGCTGCTGCCTCCTTCACTCCTGGATCGAACTCCTCCAGACACACCGCAAGAGCATCTAGAGCACCACTGCAGCACCAAACACACACCTTAACTCTTACTACATTGTATATACCCAAAACACAAAGTACAACTTCAAACACAAAAGACGAGCAGTTGCGCTTGTTCACTGCAACCTGACCACACAAAAAGGACCAGTTTCGGAAATTAGGAAACTTTCTTGCAATTCTGTCATTTGTACTGGTCTACATACCTATCCACTACGGCTTGTGCCAACTCTGGTGAATGCCTTGCAACTGCTCTCAGCACAAATGCTGCTGCCTTCTTGTAGAATCTCTGTGCAGTAGTGGGAGAGAGTATCCTTTAGCGAACTAGGGTTCTACTATAGTAGTACGTTCTGTTCGGCGAGGGAGTTGACTAGCTGTGGAAGGATGTCTCCCGTGACGATGGCCTCGGCCAAGTCTCCATTGTGGTTTGCAAGTCTCCCCAGAGCCAGAGCTGCGGTCTGAGGGAGAAAGGTAGCGAGCTCGGGGGTGGGGCTGAAAACCTTACCTGCTGGATTGTGGGGACTACGTCAAGAAGCAGAGGTCGCAGCAGCTGCATGACTCCTGTATAATAGAGGCAGACATAACAGGTTGGAGAGATGGCTGGAGCTAGCCTCACCTGCCGTCTGGAGAGTGTCGACGTTCTGTGGTCGAGAAGACAAGTCAGCCACTGTCTGCACGAATTGCATCCTCGACTTCTGGTACTGCTCGAACACTACATATACATTGCAGGCAACTCCACACTATAGCTATAGCTCGAAGTTGGGTCGTTTCCAACCTTGAACGATCTGTCTTTGAGTCATCTTCTTCCCCCAAACTCCTCGCGGTCGATGTCCGCGTTACTACGGCAACCTAACACAAACCGCGCTACTAGCATTAGCGCGCATGCGGTAATGAGTCAACAATGATTGGGAACAGTTCATTACAGGTGTGAACATGGTTTATTGTACTTGGTGAACAATCACTGTTGTTTGCATTCTGGCTTTGCAACCTGGCAGGAGGAACAGACACCACATAATCCACGTTATATAAATATAGCAGAGTGGAGCTATAGACCTGGTCCTTTATATCATCTCCAGCCTCGTCCTCTTCATCGTCTTCCTCCTCCAGCCCCTCCTCCATGTCAAACTGGAGGAAGACACAACACACTACACTACAGCCACAACCAGAGCCTCATCTCACGTCATCTTCGTCCTCCATGATCTCTCCAGTGAAGAACAGCACAGCCTTTGGCACCAGTCTGTCTCTGATGAACTCCGCCCTGGCATAGTCGTCAGACAGCAGCTGCGAAACTTCTTCCTCATCCTCTCTCTCCTCCTCCACTACAGAAAGGATGAGGGTAGACCACGCCCATTGCCACACCCACGAAACCCACATTTTGGAGGAGAGAAGAAAGAGAAGAAGGACTCGTTTGGGACAGTCTTTGTCACTGTTCTTGCTTGCCCAGCACCTTTGGAGGACCAGAGGATAATGACAAAATGAAATGGAGAGGCATGCCTTTGTGTTTCTGCTTCTTCTTCACAGTCTTAACGGTCAGGTTCTTGCCTTTCTTCCAGTCAATGGAGCACCTGCCACCACCACCAACGGTCGGTTACCAGGACAAGGTTTCAAAGAGAGAGAAGCTCACCCTTTGCAGGAAGTGATGGAGGCTCCTTCGAAACTGAAAGGCTCTTCTTCCTCTACCTCGCAGGCCATCTTGTAGGTCTTGGTCAGGACTCGGTTTGTGAACCACTCATTCTCGGAGAAGTGGAACTCAAGAATAAAGTCCTGTTAGAGACACGAGGAGGAGGAGGAGGAGCATGGGGGTGGGGAAGAGCACTTTTCTAACCATTCCAGTGGAACTTGGGTACACCACAGTGATCTCTGTCAGGCGCTGTAGGGCTGGTTCATCATGCTCCTGAAAATGAACAATGTTACATGCTTTGACCACTGGTGCAATTACTTTGATCCAATCTGAGAAAATGTCGGCATTCTTCATAGCTACCAGCCAGAATTCAGGGACACCAGTTGCCGGGGACGACGAACCTTCTTCTTTTGCCTTCTCTGCACGAGGAACATACTGTCCGCCTCGTGTCCTGACATTATCAGAACAAACCATCGTCGCCGTCCTCTGCGTCGTCACTCCACTGACATTCCTCGTCAGTTGGCTCATACTCTCCTGTTACTATCTTCTTCCTCTATACAGTAGGAGAAAGAGGGCAAAGGGTTCGACTGAGGATTTCCAATGCTCAACTATACCTTGTCCATAATCGGCTTGTATTGCTTCATGTACTTGACCTCCAGCAGCTGAACTTCTTTGTAGAACTCACTCTCCACCTGTGTGTTCAGGGAGATGATCACGTGGCATCGCGTGATTCACCGGCAGCTTGCCTTTAGGAAGTCAACCTGAAGGTTTTTAAGAGCGTGCACTCTTCTCCGGACGTCAGGAGGCAACCTGCATGCATATAGAGACTCAACACGCACACCATTCCCCTCTCACTCACGGAGCCAGCTGGCTGGCATTGATACACTGTGCAATCTTCTGAGAGAGTGCAGAAACCGCCTCAGGATTGCCAAGAATCTGCCCCACTGCCGCTGCTGCCGCTGCTGGGTCCGCTTCTTCACTCATGACCGCCGCCGCACCACAGGCAGGTTCTCTGGATCTCAGCTATTGCGGTCCTAACCTCGCACAACTGCAAAACCTTTCTGCAACACACAGTAAAACTATCTACACGCTTCGCTGGTAAGGCGTGCGCTGTGTTTTGAGCATGCGCAGAGGTGATGGCCGTGTGATGATGAGAGTGAGCTCTGTACGGTCGGTAACGGTGTCGTGTGCAGGGGGGGTGGCTTCCGGCTGCAATAAGACCACTCAGCGAATACTGAAGAGCTGTGTTTGTGTTGTGACCTCTGTCTGCTCCGTGGCCAGCGATGCAGAGACGATCTCTGAAGATCCGAGAAAAGGAGGGGGAGGAGGAGGAGATGAAGAAGCCCAGCTCTCATCGATCTGCCAAGGTGTTTGATGATGGAACCAACACCTTTTTCTGGTAGGTTATGTGGTAGACGTTGTAGATGGATTAGTGCTTACCCCTCCGTCCTCTCTCTGCAGGCAGGCGCACACTGTGCTGGCAGGGCTGGTGATAGTGTGTGTCCTCTGCTACGTAACTCTCACTGAGGGAGCTTTCATGGGAAACACTCAGGAGAACATCCGCAGGTAGCCCCGCCTCCTTCCTTCCATGTCGTCTACTCATTCCTGTCTCTGCAGGGGTGTGGTTGCCGTAGTGATAGTTTTCATATTGATAGGAGTGATTCACATGCCAGACGGCCCATTCCTCAGACCACACCCAGGTGTGTCTGACCACACCTACTGATTGTTGTGATGATTATGATGTGTGTGCAGTGGTGTGGCGGCTGGCTCTAGTGGTGAACATTCTCTATGTTCTACTTCTCATCTTCACCCTCTTCCAGGTGACTCATGTGACCTCACTCATGTGTCATGTGATCTCACTCATGTGAAATGCCCTACAGTCAGTAGATGATGCGCGGCAGTTCTTGAGTGTGTTAGACCCAAGTCTTGGACAACCTCTGCCAGAGAAGGATTATGGCGGAGACTGTGCTATATACACCCCAGGTATCACTAAGTACGGTACTGTGCTATATACACCCCAGGTATCACTAAGTACGGTAGTTATGGTGGAGACTGTGCTATATACACCCCAGGTATCACTAAGTACGGTAGTTATGGTGGAGACTGTGCTATATACACCCCAGGTATCACTAAGTACGGTAGTTATGGTGGAGACTGTGCTATATACACCCCAGGTATCACTAAGTACGGTAGTTATGGCGGAGACTGTGCTATATACACCCCAGGTATCACTAAGTACGGTAGTTATGGCGGAGACTGTGCTATATACACCCCAGGTATCACTAAGTACGGTAGTTATGGCGGAGACTGCGCTTATTCTGGCACTACAGGCTACAAGGCAGCCTATTAGCGATAAGAGCGGCTTCAGAACTACTCAAGTCTGAAAAAGAAGCGATTTCCCTAAAACGACTGCGTTCGAGATATATTATGCTATGAAAGCAAGCGAAGAAGCCAATATGCATAAATCGCGCTGGCTTAGGTCCTCTCGCTCTGTGTACCTTGGATGCACAAGAAGTCACAACGAACGGTGTGTATCGACTCCAGCATGCTGTATCTACTACTTTAGCTAGCCCGTGTCAGACTCTTCGCGGGCTCCTCGAAGGAGACCACGAGTAAACATGTAATCTTCGCCCAACCCATCAATTAGCGGTACCGTGCATGCGCAGTGCGCCGAGGGTTTGCACTTCAGTGCTTTTCATTGGACCAGCACAACTCTTGTTAGCTCTTCCATTGTTAAGGGAAAACGTATTGTGATACAGTATCTGCCAATATACCTCTGTTTATCAGACAATGAAAATGGGTCGTTTGCCAACCTTGTGGACAAGATGGACGTGTTTGTACCTTGTCACTTCTTTGGCTGGTGGGTCAAGGTACGTCTCTGCTTTCTCACCTTCTGCTGTAATCCCTCCCCCTTCTTCCTCCCCCTGTCTCCCTTCCCCTGCTCCAGGCCCTAATACTTAGAGATGTCTTTCTGCTAAGCATCGTCAGGTACAGATAATAATGCATGAGAACGTAACAGTAGGAGACAGGCAGACACATGCATGTAACCTTCACGTCACCAAACTTAGCCTCATGTTCATGTTCATGTGATCCCAGTCTTACCCTCCATCCTGTGTTCAGTGTTGGTTTTGAACTGTTGGAGTACACTCTGGAGTTACAACTGCCAAACTTTGGGGAGTGCTGGTGGGACCACGTACGTCTCTCTCTCTCTCACCACCATTCCTCCATGTGGTGACTGAGGCTGTCCCTCCAGTGGATCATGGACTTTCTGGTGTGCAACGGTCTGGGGATATGGCTGGGCGTCAAGACCTGCGAGTATCTGGAGATTAAGAACTACCACTGGAGAGGTCTTTACAAAGCACCCACCTTCAAGTTAGTCTCGTACCCATGACAACCTTATCAAACCCTCTCCACTAATATTCCTCCCGTCTCCCTCCACAGAGGTAAGCTGAGAAGAGCAGTGACCCAGTTCACACCATACTCTTGGACATCCTACCGCTGGGGTTACACCCAGAGCCTCTCTCGATTCATCTTTGTCTTTGCCATTGTGATATCTGTTAGTTACACTGAGAGAGTTTTCCTGCCCATTTCCATGACGATGGTGTATTTTGCAGTGGTTGGTGCAGGAACTGAACACGTTTTATCTAAAGGCGATTCTGTGGATTCCTCCCAACCACATCTTCAACTTCTACCGAGTTTTGGTCTATGCCTTCAGTGGATCCTGTGCCATGAAGGAAATGTATGACTACCTCTCCACAAGGTCAGGGGGCGGGTCTGAAGCCAATGGGTGTGGTTACCGCTCACTTCAATTCCGGCTAGTGACAAGAACGCAAGGATTGGGAGGTTCTCATGGCTATGTTTTGCAGCCATTATCTGTGAGGTGATGATTGAAATCAAGTTTGGGTGAGTTGTACTTGTGTACCTGTGTATTCAAGGAAATTTTGTCTTCTCCTTCTCCCGGCCAGATGGTACATCCTAACCATACCTGTGCCTCGTGCCGCCATTATCTTCTGGACTTCTCTCTTTTTGCTTGTCTTTGTTTGGGCTTTCTGGAAATTCACGGTTCCATTCAGGTATCCACCAGTCTGCGACTTGCCTAGCAACCAGCGCTCTCTTACTCTCTTTCTGTGTAGAGATATGCCAGTGATTGGAGGACCCTACAGGAACCTCACTGGATTCATTACAGGAAGAGATGATAGGACTAAATCTATGTAGACATGTATAATACTCTTTATCCTCTCAAGAATTATGTAATGTTATCATTAAACGTGCACCTCTGTGTGTGCATGCAGCATGGAAAGGGGGAGGGGCTCCTTGCATACGACCAATCAGATTGCTGCACATCAGCCAGCTACAACGTGGCATGCAAAGATAACAAAGACTCATTGTGAGTGTGGCTTGCCAAGTTTATCTGCTGGCTTTCTATTTGAGGGGAGAGGGAAGTTGGCTAGTCGTTGGTCGAGTCTGTTGCAGTGAATTGGTTGAAAGATGAGTCGGTGTCTCGTTGGACTAGTACTAGCCGTGTTCTGCGCCGTGGCAGCTGCGGGCCCCAAACCGCCAACTGGTTAGTGGAGCGTTCCTCTAGTGTCAAGTTTCTGACGGAAGCCCGTCTCTCCCCTGCCAGCGGAGCACCCCGAGTCGGTGGCCGAGCACGTGGTGGGGGTTCACTCACCGGAGTACGATCACGAGGCATTCCTGGGTAAGGCTGAGGCGGAGAGGTTCGACCAACTTCCTCCAGCGGAGGCCAGAAGAAGACTGGGGTGAGTACAAGTGGGTGCCTTTGGGCCTGGCTTCATTGCCGTGCCCCCTGTCTCCCACAGGATAATCGTGGACAAGATAGACGTGAACAAGGACGGCTACGTGACGGAGAAGGAGTTGGAGGAGTGGGTGAGGCACGTGGCCAACAGGTATGTACAGTCCACTGAATGCATGCAGATGGCAGCTCTGTCCTGTGTCTCCACAGGTACATCATGGATGATGTCATGCGTCAATGGGAGCATTACGATGCTGACAAAGACGACTACGTGACTTGGGATGAGTTCAAAGCAGCCACGTTTGGAGACCATCCTGGTGAGCAGCTTCCCTGCCTCCTCAAGACCTAATGTACCCTCCCATTCTCCAACACAGACGACAGTGAGGTCTACGACAGCCACAGGAAGCTGACGTACAAGGATATGATGAAGAGAGACGCTCTGAGGTTTGCAGCTGCTGATCTGGACGGTGATAAGAGGTTGACTAAAAATGAGCTGGCAGACTTCCTTCACCCTGGTATGCAGAATACATGTCTGTCAGTCTCCCAGTCCAGCAGCAACTGTTCATGCCCGTACAGAGGATGCTCCTCACATGCAAGAGATAGTGCTGGACGAGACAATGGACGACATGGACAAGAACAAGGATGGTTTTGTGACAGAGCAGGAGTATGTAGGTAAGCCCTCCTCCTTTTCCTTCTCCCTGTCGTGTTACCACGGTGTCCACAGAGGACATTTGGCCTCAATATGAGAGAGAGGCAGAAGGACAAGAGCCTGAGTGGCTGCAAAGTGAGAGACAACACTTCGTCAATGACAGGTGTGTGTGTCCACCGACACTCTCTCTCTCCCTCACTCATCCCACACCTCCCACTCCAGAGACAAGGACGGAGATGGTCGTCTGAACAAGCAGGAGCTACGAGAGTGGATAATGCCAGAGAACTATGACCATGCCAAGGCTGAGGCCACTCACCTCATCTATGAGTCTGATGTTGACAGTGTGAGTTCCTTCTGACTGGTTCCTGCTCCACAAAAACCTCTCTCTCTCTCTCTCTCTCTCTCTCTCTCTTCGCAGGACGAGCGACTAACTAAAGAGGAGATCCTCCAACATCAAGATGTGTTTGTTGGGAGCCAAGCGACTGACTTTGGCGATTACTTAGTCAGGCATGATGAATTCTGATTTTCCTTCTCTAGCTATTGACATAGTCACTTTCCTGGATTCAGTTTCTGTTGTTTTTGATTTAACAACATGTGTTATGTAAGTATGACATGCTGCTGCTTTTGGCTGTTAATATTATACAAACACCATTTGGTCTCTTCCGGACTTTATATATGAGCTGAATTTAGAGGAACAAAACAATGGGGGGAACAGTGACTATTGAGTTGCAGGTTGCAGTTTGTGGTAAATTTAGCCAATACAATAAATTCCTTTAATAACAGGCACAATCTTATATAGAAATTACAGAAGTCTGTGTGAGCTGTTTATAAATGGAACAAGGAAAACATTTTTATCCCAGATTTTTCAAGATGTTTAATGTACCTAACAACTAATTTTTCCAGCAATTTCCTTCTTTACCAACAAGGGTTTGAACAGTTTTGCATTTGTTGTACGCACATGAGTAAACGAAATGACAAACCAACAATGCCTAACAGTTTGACTATAGTTGGAGGTTGGAATAGCAAAACTATCTAGCTGTACTTAAACACTTATTTATCTTGCAATTTCCTTCTTTACCACCCTTTACAACAAGGGTTTGAACAGTTTTGCATTTGTTGTACGCACATGAGTAAACGAAACGACAAACCAACAATGCCTAACACTTTGACTATAGTTGTAAGTTGGAATAGCGATACTATCTAGCTGTACCTAAACACTAATTTTTCTAGCAATTTTCAACAAGGTTTTGCATTTGTTGTATGCACAGGAGTAAACGAAATGACAAACCAACAATGCTTAACAGTTTGACTATAGTTGGAGGTTGGAATAGCAAATATCCACCTCCTGCCACCACATAGGACACACACCAGTACATTGATATCCACCTCCTGC